ACACGGGGCGAGCCTGTGTGTCCTGAGGGGCTGTGCAGGCCTACCCAGCCGCAGGCGCCTGCCAGGCAGGGGACACAGGAGGAGTCGGGGCAAGGGCCAGGGAGTGGGCACTGGGGAGGGCAGGCCCACCTCTGCCCTGGCTGCCCTGGGCAGAGCCAGGCGCGGTGCCCCAAGCCCAATAGAGAGGAGGCCAGCTGGGCATGGGGCCTGGTGGTGGCCCCGCCCCTGGTGGGAGGGGAGCTTATGTGGGTGGGGCTGGATGTGGTGGCCCCGACCCCTGGTAGGAGGGGAGCTGGTGTGGGCGGGGCTGGGTGTGGTGGCCCCGCCCTTGGTGGGAGGGGATCTGGTGTGGGTGGGGCTGGATGTGGTGGGCCCCGCCCCTGGTGGGAGAGAGGGGAGCTGGTGTGGGCGGGGCTGGTTGTGGTTGCCCTGCCCCCGATAGGTGGGGAGCTGGCACGGGCGGGGCTGGGTGTGGTGGCCCCGCCCCTGGTGGGAGGGGATCTGGTGTGGGTGGGCCTGGATGTGGTGGGCCCCGCCCCTGGTGGGAGAGAGGGGAGCTGGTATGGGCATGGTGGATATGGTGGCCCCACCCTTGATAGGCGGGCAGCTGGAGTGGGGCGGGGCTGGGTGTGGTGGCCCCGCCCCTGATAGGGGAACTGGTGTGGGCGAGGCCTGTTGTGGCTCCGCCCCCTGATAAAAGGGGAGCTGGCGTGAGCAGGGCCGGTTGTGGTGGCCCCACCCCTGATAGGCGGGGAGCTGAAGTGGGTGGGGCTGGTTGAGGTGGTCTCACATCTGATAGGAAGGGAGCTGGTTGGGGTCCCCTGATACATGGGCAGCTGGAGTGGGGTGGGGCTGGGTGTGGTGGCCCCGCCCCTGATAGGGGAGCTGATGTGAGCGGGCCGGTTATAGTGGCCTCGCCCCCTGATAAGAGGGGAGCTGGTGTGGGCAGGTCTGGGCATGATGGCCCCACCCCTGGTAGGCAGGGAGCTGGTGTGGGCGGGGCCGGTCGTGGTAGCCCACCCCTGGTAGGCGGGGAACTGCAGTGGGGCGGTACTGGGCGTGATGGCCCCACCCCTATAGGTGGGGAGCTGGTGTGGGCGGGGCCAGTCGTGGTGGCCCACCTCTGACAGACGGCGAGCTGGAGTGGGGTGGTGCTGGGTGTGGTGGCCCCACCCCTGATAGGCGGGGAGCTGGAGTGGGGTGGGGCCAGTTGTGGTGGCCTCACCCCTGATAGGCAGTGAGCTTGTGTGGGCAGGGCCAGTCATGGTGGCCCCGCCCCCCAGATAAGAGGGGAGCTGGTGTGGGCAGGGTTGGGCGTGATGGCCCCACTCCTATAGGCAGGGAGCTGGCGTGGGCGGGGCCTGTTGTGGTGGCCCCGCCCCTGGTAGGAGGGGAGGTGGCGTGGGTAGTGCTGGGTGTGGTGGCCCCACCCCTGATAGGCGGGGAGCTGGTGCGGGCGTGGCTGGATGTGGTGGCCCCACCCCTGATAGGCGGTGAGCTGATATGGGCGGGGCTGGTCATGGCAGCCCCACCCCTGATAGGCGGGGAGCTCGATTGGGGCAGTGCTGGGTGTGGTGGCTCCACCCCTGATAGGCGGGGAGCTGGTGTGGGCGGGTCAGTCGTGGTGGCCCCACCCCTGATAGGCGGGGAGCTGGTGTGGGCGGGGTTGGATGTGGTGACCCCATCTCTGGTAGGAGGGGAGCTGGTGTGGGCGGGACTGGATGTGGTGGCCCCACCTCTGATAGGCGGGGAGCTGGCATGGGCGGGGTTGGATGTGGTGGCCCCACCCCTGGTAGCAGGGGAGCTGGTGTGGGCGGGGTTGGATGTGGTGACCCCACCCCTGGTAGGAGGGGAGCTGGTGTGGGCGGGACTGGATGTGGTGGCCCCGCCCCTGATAGGCGGGGAGCTGGTGTGGGCGGGGTTGGATGTGGTGACCCCATCCCTGGTAGGAGGGGAGCTGGTGTGGGCGGGACTGGATGTGGTGGCCCCACCTCTGATAGGCGGGGAGCTGGCATGGGCGGGGTTGGATGTGGTGGCCCCGCCCCTGGTAGGAGGGGAGCTGGTGTGGGCGGGACTGGATGTGGTGGCCCCGCCCCTGGTAGGGGCGCTGTGTGGGCGGGGCTGGATGTGGCGGCCCCACCCCTGATAGGCAGTGAGCTGATGTGGGCGGGGTCTGCACGGTGGCCCCGCCCCCGAGCAGGACTGCAGGAGCCGTGCGGGGCACCCGAGGTGCTGGCTCACGGCCGCCCCGGCTGTCCTGTGCCCGCAGCTGCCAACGTGCTGCTCTCGGAGCAGGGGGACGTGAAGCTGGCCGACTTCGGGGTGGCCGGGCAGCTCACGGACACACAGATCAAGAGGAACACGTTCGTGGGCACCCCGTTCTGGATGGCTCCCGAGGTCATCAAGCAGTCTGCCTACGACTTCAAGGTGGGTGTGGGGGCCGCGGGGCGCCGGGCCGCAGCCGCGGGCGTGCAGCAGCGTCCCCCTTCCCGTCCAGGCCGACATCTGGTCGCTGGGGATCACCGCCATCGAGCTGGCCAAGGGCGAGCCGCCCAACTCGGACCTGCACCCCATGCGCGTCCTGTTCCTCATCCCCAAGAACAGCCCGCCCACGCTGGAGGGCCACCACAGCAAGCCCTTCAAGGAGTTCGTGGAGGCCTGCCTCAACAAGGACCCCCGATTCGTGAGTCCCCGGCCGGGGCGCGGCAGCTGGGCAGGCCCCCGGGAGCCCCCTGCCCGCTGAGCCTCCTGTGCCCGCAGCGGCCCACGGCCCGGGAGCTCCTGAAGCACAAGTTCATCACGCGCTACACCAAGAAGACGTCCTTCCTCACCGAGCTCATCGACCGCTACAAGCGCTGGAAGTCGGAGGGCCACGCCGAGGAGTCCAGCTCCGAGGACTCGGACATGTAGGCCCGGGTCTGGGAGTGGCCCGGAGCACGCTCGCCCTGGAGCGGGCCGGGACCCCCGCTGACCCGCTCTTCCCGCAGTGACGGAGACGCTGAGGACGGGGAGCAGGGCCCCATCTGGACCTTCCCGCCCACCATCCGGCCAAGCCCGCACAGCAAGCTGCACAAGGGGACGGCCCTGCTCGGCCCCCAGAAGGTCTGTCTGTCTGTCGTGTGTGTGTGTGTGAATCTCTGTGTGTCTGTGTGTGTGTGTGTCTGTGTGTCTTGACTGCGTGTCTTATCTGTCTCTGTGTGTGTATATGTGTGTGTGTGTTTGTGTGTCTTGTCTGTGTGTCTGTGTGTCTTGTCTTGACTGTGTGTCTGTCTGTTTCTGTGTGTTATCTGTGTGTCTGTCTCTCTCTGTGTTTGTACGTTTGCGTGTGTGTGTGTGTCTGTGTGTCTTGTCTGTGTGTCTGTGTATGTGTACCTGTCCTGTGTGTGTGTGTCTGTCTGTCTGTCTGTCTCTCTGTCTGTCCGTCCCCGCTCTCCCCTGTTCTTGGGTGGCCGCCTCTTGCGCCTGGCTGAGTTGTGTTTCACTCTGCAGCCTGCAGAGCCCGTGAAGCGGCAGCCGCGGTCCCAGTGCCTGTCCACCCTGGTCCGGCCCGTCTTCGGGGAGGTGAGCAGGCCGGGGGGGCTGGGGCTGGCCTTCAGCGCTGCCCGCTGCTGGGGTGTGCGGAAGGACTGGGGCCCCGGGGCCCTCTCAGCCCCCTCAGCCGTGCCAGGTTCAGGACATGGTGCCACTCGGGCCTCATCTGCTGCCTGCCACAGTGCTGGGGCTGGACCCCGGGCTCCTGCTCCCACGTGACCTCTGGGGTGCTCTGGAAGTGCCAACATGGGCCCTGTTTGTCGAGGGCGGCTTTTGTTCTGGGATTAGAGCCTCAGGCATGGGGGAAGTCTGCCCTCGGGTGGGTGGTCTGCAGACCCCACTGGGCCCCCGCAGCTACAGAGAGGAGAGCCCCGGTGAGGCAAATGGGCTCGGCCCGGGCACTGGAGCACTGGGATGGCTGTGCCTGGGGGCGTCTGGGAGGTGAGGAGGGGTTTCTGGGCTGGGGGCTCCGCTGGGACACTGGCCCCGGCTGCCCCGGCCTGCAGGCTCTGGTTTCTCTGAGGTGGGGCGGGAGCCTCCCCTGGGCGGCTGGACTGGGGTGAGGTCTGCAGCGGCACTGGGGCTGCGGGCTGGACGCCTGCACAGCATCAGCCATGGCTCAGGCGGGGGACGGGCCTGGTGGGCCTCCGCCGGGACCTCCCAGATGCGGCAGCACGTGCAGTCCAGCGGGGCGGCCGGGCGCTCAGTGCCGACCCCGCGCCCGCAGCTCAAGGAGAAGCACAGGCAGAGTGGCGGGGGCGTGGGGGCCCTGGAGGAGCTGGAGAACGCCTTCAGCCTGGCCGAGGAGTCCTGCCCCGGCATCTCCGACAAGCTCATGGCACACCTGGTGGAGCGGGTGCAGAGGTGAGGCGGCCCCGCGGCGCCCGGGCCGGTCCCGCGGCTGGGCCGGGCGGTGACCAGCTTCCTCCTTCAGGTTCTCTCACAACAGAAACCACCTGACGTCCAGCCGCTGAGGTCAGCCAGGAGCAGCCTGTGCCGACGGCCCCTGGCCGCGCTGTGGGTGGCAGCCCCCCGCGGGCTGGCCCTCCACAGCCATGGCCCCTCGGACCTGGCATCGGTGGCCAGGGGCTCTGCCCGTCTCCACTCGCTGCGGTGACCGAGGCTCTGCCGTGTGTGTTGGATCAGGCCCGCGTCCACGGTGCGCGTGCCGGTTGGCCGTCGCTTCCTAAGAGAACTGAACTTCACCCCTCGGTAGCCTGGGTCTAAGGTGGTAGTTTCTAGAACATGGGAGGCGCTTGCCGCTCTGAATAAAGACCTGAATCGGAGATGCCGGCGGCTGCGCTGGGCAGGGCCACACCTGGTCCCCTGGGCACGTGCAGCAGGGGCAGCGCCTTTATTCCGCCCCGGTCAGTGCCTCCCCCGCCCCTCCCCAGCAGATGCTGGCACTGCTCCCCCTGTGCCCCCACCGAGGGCAGGGCGGAGGTGAGGCGGTGTCCACTCAGCGGCCCAGCACCGCCCTTCTGCGTGTCTCCTCCCTCCGGGTCCCCAGTCCTGCCCTCAGGTCACCGCACGCTCTGGGGGACTCAGGCGAGGGGCTCCGCCCTGCTTCCTCGGTCACCCTCGTCCTCGTCTAGGCGGGTCAGTCTGGGGGGGCCCCAGCCTCCCCGGGAGCACTGCTGGCCGTCTCGATGACCTCCATCCACCTGCAGAGAGGCCCGGGTGCATGGGCGGCTCGTCCCTCGGAACCCCCCGAACCACCAGAGTCCAGTGACGGACAGGGGGCATGAGGCCCTCCCCGTGCCCGTGGGGCTGGAGGAGGGGACGGCGCGGTCACCTCCTGAACGTGTACGTGTTCTCGGCCCGGAAGAAGTAGACGTGGCCCTTGAACTGCAGCTTGAAGACGTGCTCCTTGCGGATGCCATCGGCAGCTCCGGCCACACTCACTCTGTAGCCCAGCAGGGGGAGGCTGGCCAGGGGGTGGTCGTCCTGGAGGGAGATGACCGACCGCTCAGTGCCCAGCCCTCCCTGCGTGGCCAGGGGAGCCTGCCGGGCTGCGCCGAGCCCCTACCTGGTGGGTTTTGTAGAAGAACAAGCAGAGGTCGGTGAAGACCACCCAGAGCTTTTGCCAGCCTTCGCTGTTCTTGAACTTCCTCAGCAGGTAGCCTGAGAGCTGGTTCTGAGGGGAGGCGCGTGCGTGGGCGTCAGCCTCCCTCCCCCTCCCCCGGGTTTGCTCCCTGGCACCGGTGGCCTGGCTGGGGCTTGGTGCTCCCTCCCTGGGACCCCCGGCCTGCAGGGGTCCTGCACGAGCGCTGGGTCTGCTCTGCACCCCGGAGCCCCCATGAGGCCATCTGGAAGGGGCTTGAGGCGTGGCGAGGCGGTTGCCGCGGGCCTGGCTCTGAGCTTCCACAGAAAAGGCTTTCCCTGCCCAGCTGAGGGGTGGCCAGCAGGCTTGCAGGGACAGGTGGGCCCGCGGGGCAGAGGGACCCTGGGAGGGAGGGGGGCCATGGTAGGCGCTGACCTCCATGGCAGCGCTGCGGTCGGCCCGGGAGACGCTGGCGATCCGGTACCAGCACACGTGCGCCGTGGTGTTGGCCCGGGGCTGGGCCTGCGCCTCCGGGGGGCCGTGCTCCGGAGACAGCGCGTCGGACGGCTCTGGGAGGAGCCACGCCTCAGGTCCAGGTCTGGGCCCTCGGCAGAGCCCAGGACCTGGGACGTGGCAGCAGAAGAGCAAAGCCAGAAGAGCTGCTCGCCCTTCCCCGCCCCGCCTGGAACGTTCCTCGTGAGGCCTCGTGAGGTGACGCCCGGAGCGCGTGGCTGGGCTGCTCACCGTGGGGAAGAGAGCCCGTGGTGCCGGGCAGGGCCGGGGCTGCGTCCCCTCTGCTGCGGCTGGCAGCCTCGATGGCGGCGTTCAGGTCTCGCGTCCACTTTTCCTTCTCCAGCTCAGTGCTGAGGGTAAGAGCACAGGCTGGCAGGCTGGCAGGCTGGCAGGCTGGTGGCAGCGCCACCTGGGCAGTGAGGGCTTGGGGGCTGACCGTGCCCCCACGCCGTGTCACCTGTGCTCAGCCCCTCGACCCCATCTCCGTGGAGCAGGGACCCGGGATGGGCACGGGCACACTCGTCCCCAGAACTGCAGCCTGGGCCCTTCGATGGCCACTGGCATTTCCCCTTGGCCCGAGGGTGCCCTGGACAGTGCCCCAGCCCAGCCAGTCTGCGGCCCCTGGCCCCTGGCTCAGATTCCACTTGGCGTTCTGGCCCGTGTATCAGTGATCACTCACTGAGGCCCAGACCCTGGGCACAGGAAGGCCTCTCCCACCTGGCTGCCACCACAATGGCCTTCTGCGGCGTGCAGATGGTGAAGCAGTTCGGGATGGACCATTCGTTCTCACTCTCCTCCACCTGCAAGGAGAGGAGTGGCGCTGGGCCCTGCGGGAGGACAGCAGGCAGGCACAGCTGCCCACGTCTGTACTGGCCACGGCCACCAGCTACGCACTTGTGACCCAGCACTGTTGGCTGACAGTGCGGCACAGGGAAGACCGACTGAGTGTCTCATCGCTAAAGGGGCTGTTCATTTAATTAGCCTGGCATTAAAAGGCAACGGTTTCAGAGGAAAACCCACAGACCTGGGTCTACTGCATGCAGGCACAAGCAGGAACTCCCACCCACTGAGCTCTCTCTGACTCTGAACTTAAAAATGAGCTCAAAAATCACAGGAGAGTGAGTAACTTGCCTTGCATGTGCCCGACCTGGGTTCAATTCCTGCCACCCCGTATGTTCTCCCAAACCCAATCAGGAGTGACCCCTGAGCACTGCTGGGTGTAGCCCCCAAACAAAATTCAGATAAAAAGGTTTTCTAGGAAGTGGAGGGTGATTAGACACCAGGAAGCTGGTGACTAGAGTTCAGCTCAGTGTACCAAGAACAGGGTGTGTGTGAAGGGCCCAGGGTTGACCCCTAGCACCTTGTGGCCCCAAGTACCCCTGGGGGTGACCCTTGAGCACAGGGCCGGGAGGATCTTGGGAACCATACCAGGCATGGCAACAAAATAAAGGTCCTCATGAAGGCACAGGGAGACTGATCGCCTCCACACTCAGAAAAAACCCAGGCCCAGCCTGGCAGGCATCTGGACAGGGTCCTCGCGATGGAGAGAGTCGTGTTTAACGGAGAGCGGCAGGGAGGGGGTGGGCTGCCCAGGACCAACCCTACAGGCCAGCCCATGCGCAGATAGTGCCCCGAGCCTCACCAGGACGTGCGAGGCCTGAAGGGAGCCTGACGGTGGGTGGCAGTGTGTGGTCAGCCGTCATCCCCTAAGCCATCATCCCACATGGCCATGCAGTTGTGACAGAAGTCCCAGTGGTGGTTTGGGAAGGGATTTGTCCAAATGGTGCTGAGGTGATTTGAAAGAATGGCATAGTTTTCCTTTCTAAAAATAAAACTTCCTTGGTCACACCCAGTGGCGCTCAGGGGCTATTCTTAGGACTGCGCTCAGAAGTGACCCCTGGTGGTGCTCAGGGGATCGTATGTGGTGCTAGGACTCGAACCCAGGTTGTGCAGGCCACAGCTGCATGCAAGGCAAATGCCTGATCTGTACTATGCTTCTAGCCCCATTTTTTTTTTTTTTTTTACTTTGTAACTGTGCTGGAGCCATAGCACAGCGGGTAGGGTGTTTGCCTTCCATGCGGCCGACCAGGGTTCGATTTCTCCGTCCCTCTTGGAGAGCCTGGCAAGCCATCGGAGAGTATCCCAACCGTGCGGCAGAGCCAGGCAAGCTCCCGAGGCATATTCATATGCCAAAAACAGTAACAAGTCTCACAACGGAGATGTTACTGTTGCTTGCCAGAGCAAATCCATGAACAACAAAACAGTGCTACAGTTATTTGTAACTAGCATAAGGGTTTTTGTTTATTATTATTTTGGTTTGGAGGCCACAACTGGCAGTGCTCAGGGCTTACTCCAGGCTCTGCACTCGGGAAGCACTCTCATTCCCGACCGCCTGGGATGCCGGATTGCAAGGCAAATGCCCTACCCTCTGTATGAGCTCTCCAGCCCTGCAAAGGGCGTTTGTTTTGTTTGGGGGCCACATCCAGTGTACTCGGGGCTTACTCCTGGCCTGAGCTCAGTGGGGATGGAACCTGGGTCAGCCCTTTACAAGGCACGTGCCCCGCCTGCAGTCCTAGCGTTGGCCCCGGAATATTCTTTCAAACAGGGAGGCTGCCTGCAGGGATGTCAGATGAAGTCATTTAACTGTGCCCAGGGGGAAGGCTGCCACAGTGTCCTGGGCCCTGCAGAAAGGCCTGGAGCCCTGGGGCAGGGAATTCTGCTGGACATCCCAGGGCTGGGTATGGGACAAGGCAGGGAGGGGCTGAGAGGGAGGTAGACCGAGGACTCCAGGCGCCTGACCCAAGGGGCTCAGCTGGTCACAGGTGAGAGGGCAAAAGGTGAGAGGCCGGCCGGCCATGGCAGCGGGCAAGGGGGTCTGGCCTGCCTCTGTGGAGCAGGCCAGGGTGGGCAGGGTGCAGGGACAAGCTGCAGTGCGGAACTGCGTGGACAGGTGAGGGGGGTCAGGGGAGGGAGACAGGAGAGAAGAGGAGAGGGAAGGAGGGAGGGGAAGGGACACGGGCCTCACCAGCGTGCCTCGAAGTGGGAGGAGGCCTCGGGTCCGGAAGTGGCCGCTGCCCGAGAGGCCTCGGCTCGTGTACAGCAGCACGTCGGAGAACTGCGAGGCAGGGCTGACGTCAGGCGCAGTGCACGTCCACCACGGCTGCCCCGCTGGCCGGGGCGGCAGAAAGGGCTTGCTCCACTCAGCCCACCACTTCTGGCCCAGGGTACTGGGGCACAGGCCAGGTAGACGGGCTGTCCAGGCCCGGCCTGTTCCCTGCCGCAGGCAGGAACGAAGCCCTGCGCAGTGGCAACAGCTGCTGGACACTGTCCCTGGCCCTCACACAGCCCTAAGTGCTGTGGAGATGGCAAAAAGGGCCGGGGTGCAGCATGGAGGGCGGGTCCTGAGGACGGCATAGTCCCCAGTACAGCACGCAGCAGAGTGAGGCCCGACCACTGACCACTGCCTGCCTACCATGACCAGTGCCCGCTTACTGAACACTGCCCATCCGCTGACCACTGACAAGTGCCCTCATACTGACCACTGCCCACTTGTCGCAACCAGTGCCTGTCTACTGAACACTGCCCATCCACTGACCACTGCCTGCCTACTGCCCACTGCCCACCTACCGCGATCAGTGCCCGCCTACTGACCACTGTGCACCTACTGACACTGCCCACCTACTGACCACTGCCCTCCACTGACCAGTCGTCGCCTACTGACCAATGTCCGCCACTGCCCACCTACCAGAAAGAACATCCTCTGCTGCAGGCCCCTCTTGGTGAGCTTGTAGAGGCTGCCCTCACGGATGAGCGCCTAGAAAGCAGACGAGGCGCTGCTTAGTGGCTCACGACCCCGAGTGGTGGGCGAGCTCTGGGCGCAGCAGCCCCTCACCACCGAGCCCTGGTCCTCGCCAACCGCCCTCCATCCTCCTGACGGCCGCACGTCTCTGGGGAAACCATGGCTGTGTCGCCAGAGCCCTCTGGCCAGGAGGAGGGCGCCAGCCCTGACACGCGGGACTGTCTGGGTGGGTCGAGCTCCTCTCCTGGAGCAGGTGGTGCCACGTCCCTAGACGCTCCTAGGGAGGCTGGCACGGCGTGATGGTTATTCTGAGACTACGTGCTTTTGTTGACACAAGAAACGTCCCTGTGCAGTCACCGAAGCAGTTCGCGCTGAGCCAGAGCCAAAGGTGCCCGTGATGCAGGAAATCGACCCAGGCCCGTGGCGGCCACAAGGCTGTCCAACAAACAAGGTGGACCATGACCTGCTCACACGGGGACATGGGAATGGAGCGGCCTCGTGTCACCTACAAAACTGAACAGCACAGCTCGAGTGCTGTGTAAGTGTGATAGCACAGCGGCAAAGCGGGCTGACCGCGGGGCCAGAGGGACAGGACAGCCAGGAGGGCCCTTGCCTTGCATGTGGCTGACCCGGTTGGGTCCCCGCACCCCATGTGATCTTCCAGTCACTGCCTGAGTAACTCCTGAGCATCACCGGTATGACCCCAAAACTGAAAACAAACTAACAGGGCTGAGGGGAATGGAAACCTTACAGAAGAAAACGGGCAAATCTTCCTACCTGGGATCAGGCAGAGCAACCTGGGAGAAGAATAAATTGGATTTCATCAAAATTAACCCCCTGTGTTAGAAAGTGAGAGCTGGGCGAGTTCTCAAAGGGTCTGTGAGGTGGGCATGCTCCGGGCCACTCTGGAAGCAGACCCCCGTGGTGTGCGCTGACCACCAGGAAACTGAACAGCCAGCCAGCCCCCAGACTGTGCCAGCCAGTGCGGAGGGGGGTCTGCCGGGAGCACAGGGGAGGGTCTCGGCAGGGGAACGACACGTTTTGGAACCAGGTTGCAGCATCTCGGGAAGATAGTTTCAGAAGAGACTACAGAGACACTTTGAGGGGTGTGTCCTGTGGCGGTGACTGGGCGCATCATACAGAGGAACGCCCTCCATCCTTCCTGCAGAAATGCCACCTGAATTTTTCTGAAACTCAAAAAAACAGTGGGGGCCACATGACAGGCCAACAGGAACAGAGGGGGCCTCATGGGGTGGGGGTGGTGGCTGTGGTGGCTCTAGCGGTCAGTCTGGGTGTCGGGAGAGCTGGCCGCCTGCAGCTGGCCAGGCGCTCAGAAGGGCATTTTGGACCTGGAAGGTGGCGACTGCTGAGCGTCTCCCACCGCCAAGCCCAGTGTGAACTCGCAGCGATCTTGGCGCTGAGGGCACAGCGTAAGGTTGTGAGTGACACGCCAGACCCACATGCAGCAGGGAGGCCCTGAGCTCTTCCTGAGTCCTGGGATGGAAGGTTCTGGAAGGGGAGGCCGGCGCTGGGATGGGAAAGGGCGACCGAGGAGCTGTGGTCTTGCAGGCGCCTGGACGTGGCCTTCCCACCGGCTCTGTGGCAGGAGGGGAGGCGGGTGCTGCGGGATGCGCCAGGCTGACGGTAGTATCTCGTCCAGCGGGAAGCGTGCTCTGGTGAGGGGATGTGTAGGAACACTGTGGATGGACCCCCATTGTGAGCGACTTTGTAACTGTGGGTCTCACTGCAGTTCAAAACAAAAACCCCACAAAAAAAACAGTATCTGGTCTTCTGGACTTTTTATCCTTTTCGCTTTTTGTTTTTGGGTCTAACCCAGCAGTGCTCAGGGCTTAGTCCTGGAGGGCTCAGGGGGCAAGTGGGTGTTGGGGATCAAACCTGGGTTGGCCACATACAAGCAAATGCCCCAGACTGCTGTGCTACTAGACCTTTTTCTTCTTTTTTTTTTTTTTTTGCTTTTTTGGGTCACACCCGGCATTGCACAGGGGTTACTCCTGGCTCATGCACTCAGAAATTATTTCTGGCGATGCTTGGGGGACCATATGGGATGTTGGGAATCGAACCCGGGTCAGCCGCGTGCAAGGCAAACGCCCTACCTGCTGTGCTATCACTCCAGCTCTTTAGACCTTCTTACAGATTCAATTTCTTTGGAATTTCGGGAACTTTATAATAACTGAAAGTATGTGCTTTCAACATACTATTTGGTAAAGCAACAGATTGTGATAGGAAAGTGCTTTCTTCTCCTTTCTTAAATATTTTGGGGGGGCGCATCTGAAGTGGTGCTCAAGGCCTTTCTCTTGGCTCTGTGCTCGGGGATTATTCCTAGCAGGGCTTGGGGGACCATGTGTGGTGCTGAGGATCAAACTTGGGTCAGCTTCACTCAAGGTAAGCACCTTAAGACCTTGTGCTCCAAGAAAATGTTTTCTGTAGGTTTTATTTGTTGCGTACTACTTTGACTTATAAAATTTTTATATTGAAAAAATAATAATAGAAATAAAAACAGGGGTGGGTCAGAGATATAGTACAGTGGATAAGGCGCTTGCCTTGCACAAAGCTGTCCTGGGTTCAATCCCCAACCTTCTATATGGTCCCCCAAACTTGTGAGGAGTGATTCTGAGTGCAGAGCCAGGAGTAACCCCTGAACACCGCCCAGTATGGCCAAACCCTTTCTCCCCAAAGAAACAAAACCAAGGGCCAGGGAGATGACTCAAAGGTCAGAATACCTGCTTTGCATGTGGAAGGCCCAGGTTTGATCCTCTGCATGGCATGGTCCTCCAAGCACCGCCAGGAGTGACCCCCCCCCAGCCCCTCCAGCCATGTGTCAGAATATCCCCTCAGCACTGTTGGGTGTGGTCCCCAACCCCAACCAAACTAGCCGGGCAAAAACAAACAGTTAATGAAGCAAGCCACTCAAAGAACTTTTACAGGGGCCCAGAGAGCTAGCACAGCAGGCGGGGCGCTCACCTTGCATGTGGTCCACCCAGGTTCAATCCCTGGACCCCATGTGGTCCCCCAAGCACTGCCAGGAGTGATTACTGAGTGCAGAGCCAGGAGTAACCCCTGAACATCACTGGGTGTGGCCCAAGAAAATCAAGGAAAAAAATGCAACTTTCTCAAATAAAGTCACTCACCCTGCCGGGGCTGACAAGGTTCTCGACACCAACCAGGTCTCGCTGCAGCTCCGTCAGCTTCTGAAGGTTCTCTAGTCGCTCAAGGCTGGGCCGGAGACTGGAGGCCATGTCTGTGATGGTCTTGAGGGCAGCTGAGTAGAAACATCCTCAGTCTAGGGCTGGACCCTCAAGGTTGGGGGTAACACCCCCCAGCCCCACCCCACCCCATCTGCCACTGCACAGTGGAAACAGTAATTTCATTATCTATTTGCAGTGCCGGGGATCAAACCTAGGGCATTAATCAACAAAGCTGGTGCCTGACCACTGACCTACACACCTGGCTAGGAAACAACATTTTATTTTTTTGCTTTTTGGGTCTCACCTGTCGATGCTCAGGGGTTACTCCTGGCTCTGCACTCAGGAATTATTCCTGGCAGTGCTCGAGGGACCCTATGGGATGCCAGGGATTGAAGCTGGGTTGGCCGCATGCAAGGCCAACGCCCTCCCCACTGTACTATTGTTCCAGCCCTCAAACCAATGTTTTAGAAGGAAATCTGTATTTAAGGAATTTTCACCAAACTCCTCTGAGAGTGTCTTTCACACACAAGGTTTGGCTGCCAGGTGTCTTACAGGCAGCTGGAAATGAAGAGTGATTAGCCTAAGCTGCTCGTCAGCGAATACTCAGCGTAGGCAGAAGGAAAACTAGTGTCTGTAAGGCAATATAAAACAGGATGTTCCTTAGGGCAAATGATTTTTTTTTTTTTCTTTTTTGGGTCACACCCGGTGATGCACAGGGGTTACTCCTGGCTCTGCACTCAGGAGTTACTCCTGGCAGTGCTCAGGGGACCATATGGGATGCTGGGAATCGAACCAGGGTTGGCTGTGTGCAAGGCAAACGCCCTACCCGCTGTGCTATCTCTCCAGCCCCAGGGCAAATGATTTACTACAGTTGGAAGGCTAAATAATTTGCCCCTTCAAAGTAGCTGTAATTTTCTCCATGGATGGACAGGTAGATGCTAATAAGTTTTTTTTTTTTGTCACACCCATCTCACTGCTGGCAGGTTCAGAGGACCAAAGGGGATGCTGAATCCAGGACCAAACCTGGGTTGGCTGTGTAAGGCAAGCACAAGCAAGAGGCTCTAAGCAGGAAGGCTGTCCCTGAGAAGGGCACAAGCTGGTACTGAATGCATCTGCACTGCCTGGACGGCCGATATAGTAGGGTAACGACAGGCCCTGGCTTCCAGCGGAAACCACTCCCTCTGACAACTTGGTCACCCGTCCTGAGGCCAGAACTTGGGCTGTCCACACCCCCCGGCTCCTGCCGGAGTGGGGCCTCAAGGCTGCAGTGAGACGTGAAGCTCCCTCCCTCACCCTGGCAGTCGGCCGAGTCGTGGTGCCCCGGAGGGCAGCACCCACACAGCCGGCCCAGCAGGAGGCGGTAGTGGACCAGCCGCTGGAGGGGTTTCAGCAGGAAGCTGTTGAGAGGCAAGTAGCAGACTTTCTGGAGCTCGAACTCCTTGGACACCATCTCCAGCTTCTTGAAGCGCTTGGTGGCCTTTTCCAGTTCCGTCAGGACCTCGTCGTGCCTTTGGAAGTAGCTGGTGAGTCCCTGTGGAGGCACCAAAGGCTGCCCTTTAGGTAAGGAGATGTGAGCCAGTCTGCCAGGATGGAGGATGGAGGCTTGGTGCAGGCAGCAACGCGAATGGGAAATCCCAGTGGGCAGAGCGACCGGCCCAGCACGGGCAAGCCCACGGCCTCCTGCCTCCGAGTGGCCCGCCGGACATGCCCCGCTTTGAACTAGGGCTTTTATCTCGCTCAGCACTACCAGGCAGGCTGACCCACCTCTGCTACCTGAGGGAAGAGGACAAGGCTGAGAGGCCGATGGCCTCAGGTGGCAGCCGTGTGTGTGGTGTGGCCCACAGGCGCTCCCTTGGCCAGCAGAGGCCGTGCACATTCTCCCTGCGTTCCAGAACAGAGCAGGGCGGTCTTTGACCCCTTTATTGGAGAGGTTATGATACTGCCGGCAGTTTCTAGCACAAGTCAAATGTACAGATAAGGCTTATCTTTCTAGACATGAACTTCAGCTGATGACTGTCAGGGTGGAGACGAGAGTGGGCGGGGCCAGATCGCTGGTATACCGTTTTATGACCCTAATCCACATATCCAATCCTACTGGTCATCCTAAGGACTCTATTTGCAGAGGGGCCTGTGAGATCATCTTGTATCTGCTACAAGGTCGTATTCGATCTCTTTGGTCATCCCATGCCGTCACCCAGGCTGTCATTTGCATGAGTGGTTTGGTGACTCTAATTTGATGACTTCATAACCAGTCGGCAGAAACAACTAAGGGAGGGAGGTCCAAAACGTCTGTAAACCCGGGGGGGCCCTGGGGTGGGGGTGGAAGAAGAGAAGAGAGAGAGAGTGCTCTGGCATATGGAAGAAGAGCAGGGGTGGCAAGCAGGGTATCGTGAACGGAGGGCAAGGCGGTGAGAAGAGGGACAGCGATCGTCGAGGACTTGCGATTCCTGTAGAGATACACCCACAGGAGCTGCTAGGGTCCAGAGAACTAGTACAGGGGGTGATGTGCTTGTCTCACGGGCAGCCGACGCGGTGTTTGTTGTACCTCATATGGTTCCCCAAGCACGGCTGGGAGAGATTCCTGAACACAGAGCCAGGAGTGAGCCCTGAATGCCAGGGGATACGACCCCCAAACACACAAAAATAAAAATTTTAAAAAATATGGGCAGGTTGTAAAAGAGCTATGACATTGGTGACCTCTGGTATGCATACAATCTCTCATGCCGTCCATAAGGACCCAGAGCTGATTAGCACCTGCCACAGCATCAGAACCTTTTTGGTTGCAATATTGGTTTATTTTAATGATCATTACATAGGTGATTTGTGTAAAATGAGAAGCCGAGATGTTGGCAAAGGACATCCATAATGAACACACCTGGCACATCTTACCTAAGACTATTCTCCCTAATGATGATTCTAGGAGATTACTTACAAGACACAGTTCTAAGGAAAATGTCAAGCTAAGGGGAATGGTGTCCTGAAGGATCTGACCTTCTGAGAATTCTTTCATGAGGGAAAGATGTCTATCCGTGGAGAACACTCTCTGGAAAGAAACACCCACAGAGGGATATGTTGTGCTGAGGGAAATGTGTCCATCTGAAGGGAACTCTGAAGGAAAGTCCATCTGTGGTGAATAGTTTTCTATTTTTTTCTTTTTGGGTCACATCTGGCGATGCTCAGGGGTTACTTCTGACTCTGCACTCAGGAATCACTCCTGGAAGTGCTCGGGGGACTATATGGGATTCTGGGAATTGAATCAGCCGCTTGCAAGGCAAACGCCCTACCTTCTCTACTATCACTCTGACCCCGAGAATACTTTCCTGAGGGAAATCAGCACAGAGAGAAACCTCAGGAAATATCCTGAGTAAAATGTCCTTCTGAGGCAAACTGCACAGGGATATGGCAAGTTGTGAGGAAATGTCTGCCATGAGGGAAATGTCTATAAGAAGGAAGCCCTGTCCTGAGTGAAATGTCCATCTGTTTGGAACTTGATTATGAAGAAAATAAACATCTGAAGGAAGTCAACCATAAAAGAAATTTTATGAGGAAAGTGATCATCTGAGGAGAACACTGTGGGAAAGGTGCAACTGAGGAGAATGATGATGTCCTGAGTTAAATGTCTATCAGAAGGAAACACTATCCTGAGTTAAAAGCCATAGAGGCGAAAATAACTTGAGGGAAATGTCTATCTGAGGGCAATCTAACCTGAGGGAGATGTTCTGAGGAAAATGCCTATCTGAGTGGAAATCTGTCCCCTAAGCATATTTTGTTGTGAGTAAAATGTCCTTGGGATTTCTTCCCTTTTGTGCGTCTGAAGAAAATGCTGACATGAGGGAAACAATCATCTTAGAGCACTGTCCTTTGGGAACTGCCAGTCTGAGAAGAATGCTGTCCTAAGAAATATCTATCTGAAGGAAAAACTGTCCTGAAGGAAATGTCCAGCTGAAGAGAACTCTTATTGAAGGAAATGTTCATTTGAGGGGAACTCTGTCCTAAGGGAAATATTCTTCTGGAGGAACATGCTCTTGAGGGAAATGTTCATCAAAGGGGCTGGAGAGACAATACGGGTCTTCAGGCACTTGCCTTACATACTTCTGACACCAGTTTGATACCCAGCACCACATATGATCCCCAGCACTGACAGGAGTGACCCCTGAATATAGAGCCAAGATTCTCTTCTGAGAAACATTTTCCTGCTGTGCTCATCCCTTTGTGCTTGCTGTTCAGCCTAGAAAAAACATCTTAAAACATCCTGAGGAAAGTTCCCAATAGTGGAGAATGCTCTACTGAGGTAAATTTCTTTCCTCCCTCTCTCCTTTCCATTTCCTTTCTTTTTGTCTGTTTTTGGGCCACAGCTCATGGTGCTCGGGGATTACTCCTGGCTCTGTGCTCAGGGATGACTTCTGGTGGACTCAAGGGACCATATGTGATTCTGGGGATTGAACTCAGGTTGTCTGTGTGCAAGGCAAATGGTCTACACACTGTACTATCACTCTAGCCCCAACTGAGGAAAATTTCTATCAGAAATGAGTACACTCTAGAGAGAAACTGACATGGGAATGCAATCCTATGGGAAATGTCCACCTGGGGTGCCACAGGCCTGAAATTAATGTCCATCAGGTGAAAACTGTCCTGAGAAAAATGTCTACTGAGGAGAGCTCTGTCCTGAGGAAAATATTGATTTGAAGGAAGCACTGTTCTTTTTTTTTTTTTTCTTTTTGGGTCACACCGGGCGATGCTCAGGATGCTCAGGGATTACTCCTGGCTTTGTACTCAGGAATCACTCCTGGCCGTGCTTGGGGGACCATATGGGATGCTGGGAATCAATCTGGGTTGGCCGCGTGCAAGGCAAATGCCCTATCCGCTGTGCTATTGCTCCAGTCCTGAAGGGAACACTGTTCTAAGAAAAAGGTCTACCAGAAAGAAACTAATTCAGAGGGAAGCTTTACTCAGAAGGGAATCATGTATAAGGGAATTTCCCCTGAGTAGAACTGTCCAGAAAAAAAAAATAAACATATGAGGGAACATTGTCTTGATGAACGATCATCTGAAGGGAACCCTGACTTGAGAAATGTACATCTACAGGGAAGTTGGTACATCTGAGAGAAATGCTCATCTGAGCAGAATGCTAACTATGGAAAATGTCCATCAGAAGGGAACAGTGTCCTGATGGAAATGTCTATTTGAGGAGGACTTTGTCCTGAGGAAATGTCCATCTAAGGGGAACACTATCATGAGAAGAATTTCATCTGAGAGGAACTCTCGTGGGGGATATGGTCATCCTTGAAGAGATCAGCTGTGAGAAAATGGCCATCAGATGAAAACCCTACCCTGAAAGATATGTCTACAGAGGGAAATACTGTATTGAGAGAAATGTCCATCTTTCAGGAACTCTGTCCTGAGGGAAGTGTTCATATGAGAGAAGGAATGGCTATTCTGTGGTAAATATTATCCTAAGGGAAATGTGAATTTGAGTGGAAATCTGTCCTGTATAAATGTTTATATAATTGGATTTGTTGTGAGAGAAATGTCTATTGTAGAGGTTCACTGCCCCTAGGGAAAAGTTTATCTGAGAAGAATATTTAAAGGAGGGGGAAAATCTTATGAAAATGCTGCTTATCCGAGGAGAATGCTACCTGAGGAAATGGCCATCTGTGGAGAATTCTGCTTGGAGGCAAATGTCCATCTGAGGGGAATACATTTTCTGAGGGAAACATTTTTTATGATGGACACTAGAAGGAAACTCATCCTTAGAGAAATGTTGATCAAAGTAGATCATGTCTGAAGGAAATGACCGTCTGTGGGAACAAAATCTGTGGGAAATTTTCATCAGAAGAAACCTTATCATGAGGAAATGTCTATCTCAATGGCTCACTGTAATAATGTCCATCTAAAGGAAATACTGTTTGAGGAAATACCCCAAGAATATGTCCTGAGAGAAATGACCATCTGTGAGGAATTCTGCTCTGAGGAAAATGCCATAGAGGGAAATATTTTCATGGGGGAAATGTTTATTTTAGGGAATATAATCTGAGGGAACTGTTATTCTTAGGGAAATACATATCTGAGTAGAAGTCTGTTTTGCATAGAAGTTTGTCTTGCATAAATGTACACCTAAGAAGAATAAGAAAATCTGTTGTGAGGAATGTCCATATTAGTCTTTCTCTCCTTGAGGAGAATGCTGATAATCACCTTGGGAGAACACTGTCCTGAGAAAACTGACATTTGAGAATGCTGTCTGAGGAAATGTTCATCAGAAAGAACTCCTACCTGAGGAAAATGTCCATCTTGCATAAAACACTTCCGAGGGAAATGTTCATCAGAAGGTAATAATGTGCTGAGAGAAATGCCATCGAGGAGAGCTAGCTTTGTCCTAGAGAAATTTCCATCTACAGATAACAGTAACGTGAGGGTAGTGTCCATATGAAGAGAACATTTCTTGAGGGAGTGCTCACAAAGGGGAACATTTTCCTGAGGGAAAGTTCATCTTAGGAGAATTCTTTAAATACTGCCGTTGTGTTTTTGGTGAAGGAGGTGGCCACACCTGGTGGTGATCAGGGGCTATTCCTGGCAGTGCAAGGATTTGAATCAGGGTCATGGCAGCAGTCATATACTAGTCAAATGCTTTGCGCTGTCTTTCTAGCCCCCGGGAGAACTCTCTCTGGAAGAAAAGAACTAAAGGGAACTTGTCCCAAGGAAAATGTCCATTTGAGGTGAGCACTTTGCTGATGGAAATGTACATCTGAGAGAACCCTATCCCAAGGGAAATGTCCTACTGAGAAGAAATGCCCAGAGGAAAAATTTATCCTGAGATAAATGTTCGTACAAAGGCAATCTATGCAAAGATAAATGATGTGCTGAGGGAAATCAGCATCGAGTAGAATTCTGTCCCATGGAAATGTCCATCTAAGCAGAATTTTATTTATTTATTTTTGTTTTTGGTCCATATCCAGCAGTGCTTAGGACTTACTCCTGGCTCTGTGCTCGAGGTTCACTCCTGGCAGGTCTGGGGACCACATGAGGTGTCAGGGATCAAACTTGGTTCTATTACCTATGTACTATTGCTCTGACCCTAAGCAGAATTTATTGTGAGAGAAATATCTATCTAAGGGTTTCTCTGCCCTGATAAAAAATCCATTTTAAGAAAAATGTTGTCACAGGCTGAAGAGATAATACAACAAGTAAGGTATGGTATGAACCCGAATTCTATTCCCAGCACCCCATATAGTCCCCTAAGCCTTGCCAAGGGTGATTCCTGAGGGCCAGAGCAATGGTACAGCAGGTGCGGTATTTGTTTAATATGCAGCTGACCCAGGTTTGATCCACAGCATTCCATATGGTCCCCCTGAATGTTCCCAGTACTGATTCTTGAGTGCAGAGCCAGGACTAACCCCTGAGCATTATTGGGTGTGGCCCCAAAACAAAACAAAACAAAACAAAACAAAAAGACTGATCCCTGAGCACAGAACCAGTAGTAGGCATTGAACACACCTTGACATGACCCAAAAGCTAAAGGAAAAAAATGCTGATATGAAGGCAAAAAGCATCTTAAGGTAACACTGTCCTGAGCAAACTGCTCATCTGTGGAAAATGCTCTCCTGAAGGAAATGTCCATCAAAGAAAATTCTGTTTTGAAGGAAATGTCTATATGACAAGAATATACTCCAGAGGCAAGTAAACATATGGAAATGGTGTCCTGAGGGAAATGCTCATCCCAGGGACACTATTTCCTGTGGGAACACACTCCTAAAAAAGTGTCCATCAGAAGGGATCTGTATCTGAGAGAAATATTCATCTGAGTTGAACTATGTCCTGAAGTAAATACTATGTGGATGGAACATAATCCTGAAAAAGACAAAAAACAAAAAACCATGTGATGGGAAACACTGTCCTGAGAGAAATACCAGCAGGGGGAAATCTTATCCTGAAGGTTTGTCTGTCTGAGAGAAAATCTCTCCTGGAGGAAATGTTCATTGTAGGGATCCTTGGTTCTGGGTAAATGTTCAGGTAAGAGGAGCTTTGTCTTGAAGAAGACTCTAGGGGACTTAAGGGGATTCTATAACAAGGAAATGTCCTGAGGGAATGAGCATCTAAAGGGAAATTCATCTTATGGAACTGCATATATTAATAGAATTTGTTGTGAGGGAAACGTCAAACTTAGGGGATCTAAGGAGAATGCTGGTATGAGGAAAATGATCATCTCCCTCCCTCCCTCCCTCCCTCCCTTCCTTTTTCTCTCCATCCCTCCCTTCCTCTTTCATTTTTTTGGGGCACAACATGTTCTCAGTACTTACTCCTGACTCTGTGCTCAGGAATTACTCAAGTTAATGCTGGGGGACCACATGTGGTGCTGGGAATCCAACCCAGGACCCCACCTGCTATAATATCTCTCTAGCCCCAGAGAAATCTTTTTTTGGTTGTTTTTGGGCCATACCTGACAGTGCTCAGGGCTTATTACTGGCTTTGCACTCAGGGATCACTCCTGGTGGGGCTTGGAGAACTATGTAGGATGCCAGGGATTGAACTTGAGTTGGTCATGTGCAAAGCAAGTACCCTACTAGCTATACTATTGCTCTGCATCTGCTTCCCCCAGGGAAGTTTCCTTTCTTGAGGGAAATTTCATTCACGGAAAATCTATCCTGAGGCAAATGTCTATCTAAGAGAAACTTTACTGAGGAAAATAACCATCTGAGAACACTGACCCAAAGGAAATGCTTTTCTGAGGGCAACTCTATTCTAAGATGGATAGGAAAAATATCTATCTCAGTAGAATTCTGTTCTGAGGAAAGTTTATCTGAGGGAAACACTGTCCTGGGGAAAATGTCCACAGAGGGATCTAATCTTGAGTAAAATTTTTATTAGAGAGAATTTTGGTCCTGAGGAAAGTCCTTCTTAGGGGTCATAAAGAAATGTACAACTGAGAGAAACTCAGTTTTGAGGGATATGTCCATCTGAGTAGAAATCTGTCCTGTACAACCAAGTAACATTTGCTGTGACAGAAATGTCCTTACGATTCTCAAAAAATTAGAAATTGAGCTCGCATTTGACCCAGCAATACCACTCCTGGGAATATATCCCAGAGAGGCAAAAAAGTACAGTTGAAATGACATCTGCACTTCTGTGTTCATTGCTGCACTGTTCACAATAGCCAAAATTTGGAAAAAAAAACGAGTGCCCGAGAACACATGATTGGTTAAAGAAACTGTGGTACATCTATACAATGGAATACTATGCAGCTGTTAGAAAAGATGAAGTCATGAAATTTACATACAAGTGGTTCTACATGGAAAGTATCATGCTAAGTGAAATGAGCCAGAAAGAGAGGGACAGACATAGAAAGACTGCACTCATCTGGGGAATATAAAGTAACAGAATGGGGGTGGAATACTCAAGAATAGTTGAGATAAGTACCAGAAGGCCTGCTCCATGGCTTGGAAGCCAGCAGCACATGCTGGGGGAAAAGGCATCTCAGATAGAGAAGGGAATGCCAAGTAAAGGGTGTTTGGAGGACTCGCTCGGGATGTGAGATGCGTGCTGAAAGTAGACTATAGACCAAACAGGATAGTCACTCAATACCTCTATTGCAAACTACAACACCCTAAAGGAAAGAGTGAGCAAAAAGGAATGCCCTGCCACAGAGGTGGGGTGGGGTGGGGGGAATGGGGTGGGGGGTGGGAGGGCTACTGGGATCATTGGTGGTGGAGGATGGGCACTGGTGGAGGGATGGGTACTGGATCATTGTATAACCGAAACCCAAGCATGAAAGTTTGTAAGTCTACAACTGTACCTCATGGTGTTTCACTAGTAAAAAAAAAAAAAGAAAAAAGAAATGTCCATATTATGGCTTCTCTGCTGGGAGGAAAATGTTTCTCTGAGAAGTATTCTGTCTTAAGGGACTGACAATCATAGGAGAACTCTGTCCTGAGGGATTTCACATGTGAAGGAAATGTTTTTCTGAGGGAATATCTATCTGAAGAGAATAGTCTACTGAGGGAAATGCCTACAGAAGAAAATGTTGCCTTGAGGGAAAAGTCCATCAGAGGTGAATACGTCTTTTGTTTATTTATTTTGGGGCAACACCACCGATGCTCAGGCTCTGCATTTAGGATTTACTCCTGGAAGAATTCAGGGAACCATATGGGATGCAGCAGGCTATGTGCAGTGTGCAAGGCACGCATCCTACCCACTGTACTATCTCTCTGGGGCAGAGGTGAATATATCTTCAGAGAAATGTCCTGATAAAATCACCCATTTGAATGTGATAAAATACCCATCTGAATGGAAATTGTTGTGAAGAAAAATTCATCTCAGTGAATTTTGTTGTTAGGAAAATGTGTTTCTTCAGGATTCTCTGCCTGAGGGTAATGTACTTCTGAGGAGAACACTGTCACGAGTAAAATGTGCATATAAGGGGAACTCTGTCCTTCTAGAAAGATCATCTGTGGGAAACTCTTTCCTGAGGAAAATGTCCATCATAGGTTGACCTCGATCTGAGATTAATGTTCATCTGAGTATAATTCTGCCCTGAGGGAAATGTCTACCTGAGACAGAGGGAAATGTCTCTGAGAAAAAGGTATGAGGGGAAAAGTAGAGTCTGTGGATAATACCGTTCTGAGAGAAATGTCCTGCTGTGGGATATGTGATCTGAGGGAAACTTGTCCTAAGGGTAATGCATTTCCTGAGATGTCTCTGTGGCCTTTACTGGTGCCTCTAGTCACTTCTGAAATTGTTACCTTTAACTGACGCATGTTCCTGAGCAACACGTCGCCAATTCGCTGATGACTGTGTGTCTCCTGGGTGATGGAAAGTCCTTCCCTGGTACAGAAATGAATAATTAGGTCAGAAAACTCAGAGCAGTTCTCAGAGGCCGCCTGACTGCCATGTACACAGCCAGATGGCAAGGAGAGGTTTGAAAGGGATGCCCCTCAACAGTGAGCAAGCAGCAAAAGGGGGTCAGCTGCTCTTAATCCCGATTGCTCACCTTCTTCCCAAAGAGAGAAAGAAGTGGTTACTAAATTTACGTTCTCCCCCACGACTTCTATGAAATAATGGTCCTTCTGAGGCCGGAGCTACAGTACAGCCATTAAGGCTGGCCTTGCATGACTCCAACCCAGGTTCGACTCCTGGCACTGTGCAGGGGGTTCCCTGAGCCCGCCAGGAGTGGTCTCTGAGTGCAGAGCCTGGAGTCAGCCCTGAACACTGCCAGGTGTGGTCAAAAGAGAACCAAACAAAAGAGAAATCATGATTCCTTTGATGCAGTCTCTGAAATTGCAAAGTTCCTGACAGTGACCGGATGGGGCTGCAGGGGGCCGTGGGCAGGATCCCACTGCCGGTTGTTACCAGAGTGCCAGTCTCTGCTCCACCTCACGCAGGAAGCCTCTGTGGAACTCGTAGATGGGATCCATGTTGGAGAAGAGCAGTGCCATCAGCTCGGTGGGCATGGCCTCCTCCTGGGTCACGGCACTGCGGAACCACTGTGGGAAGAGCATGGGGTGACCGGGGGGTCCGGTCCAGGGTGCGTGGCCACAGCCAGCCAGCAATGACCTGAGCACTGCTCCCGGGAAGAGCTTCCGGCATTGTTTCGGCTGTCCTCTTGGCTGACCACCCACTTTCCACAACAAAAGCGTGATTCTTGCTGAATCGCTTCAAGTGGGTCCATTCTTAGTTTTCCCAGAAATAAGAAATCAGACGAATTTGACCTAGACATGCTTTCAGACGAATATTTTTAGTGGCATATTTTCACAGGGATCTGGTGATATTAAGAGCCGTCTCTCAAGAGAGAGCTTTTTTTTTTGTTTTTTTTCAGTTTTTGTGTCATGCCCAGAGATGCTCAGGGATTACTCCTGGTCTTGTTTGGGGGACCGAATGGGATACTGGGTATCAAACCTGGGTTGGGTGCCTTCACCACCACCATCCTATCTCTCCAGCCCCTCAAGAGGAAGTTTCTGATTCAGGTCCAAGACAGGTGAGAAAAGCAAGATAATAAAGACTTGGGATTCATACCACAGTGATGACTTCTAAGTCCTTCAGGAATGTTCGTTCTGTGGCAAGAATCTCCTTGGCAATGAAAAGGGCTTCGTCCGCTGTCACGCTCTGTAGGAAGCAGCCAGTGAGAGCACTCACGGAGGTGGCCCCTGCTCACACCGGCTTGTTTCAGCACCCATGCTTCTTCACCCTGCGTTCCCGGGGGACACCTGAGCCCCTCGCGTCCCCACTCACGTCTGTCTCTCATGTGTGACTGGACAAAACACCGCGTCTGAGTGTGTAGCGAGACTCTACACATTCATAGTGACTCAGCTCACGACACGGCACTGTGTCCCCTGAGCAGTTCCAGGGGTGCCCTGTGGGGAGCCGGAGGTGGCAGACGCGTGTGCAGGGCAGAGGCCTGGCCCGGGGCTCAGAGTGCACAGGAGAGGCCTCGCCCCAAGTGCCTCATGCCCCCTCAGGCAGACCCCGGGGCCCATCGAGCCCAGGTCTCTGGTGGCCGCTCAAAAGCACTGAGGACCCACCTCTGTCAGGGGAGCGACAGCCCCTCAGCCCACTGTCCCCTCTGCAGCTGGGGCTTCCTGGGACCCCCAGGGTCGACCGACCTCCAGGAGTGTGTGCTGGCTTCACACGCGTGTCAGAGACCCTGTCGTGGCTCCTGGCCTTCCTCCTCCGGGAGAGAGGCGACTGACAGCAGGCAGGGTGAGCGTGGGGGCCTCGTGCACTCCCAGTGCCTGATGGGGGCCTCGGGAGGGAGGAGCTGAGGGGACTGTGATCCCCGGGGGCAGTGCTGTGGGGGTCGGGGCCAGGGGTACGCTGGGGTCTCTGGCTCAGGAGCGCCCCCTTGTGCTCAGAGCTCCTCATGGTTCCCACACACTGGCCGGCCCGGGCTCTGGCCTCCGGAAGGTTCCCGCTCTTCACGCCGCCACCAGGACGCTCCAGCCCAGCCCAGAGGCCCGCGCTTCTGCCAGGGTGCAGAACGACACCTCAGCCCCGACACTCCCACAGAACCAGGGTCCTCAGGAGTGGGAGAGGCTATCTCCCTGGGAGTGAAGGGCAGCATCCCAAGGAGGTGGGGCGCTGCCACCAGGGGATACCGGGGTGGGGAGTCCCAGCCAGCCCCACTGCCTCCTCCCCTACTGGCAAAGCCTGGGACCAGCTGCAGCCTGTCCTGACAGGGCAGGGACCCCAGATCCTGCTGCCCGCCACTGGGCCCTGCCACAGACTCACGCACAGATCCACACACGCATACACACACACACTCATGTCGCACATGCACACACATGCACGTCACACACATGCACACACACATCACATGCACACACACGCACATCACACATGCACACACGTCACACATGTACACACACATCACACATGCACACACATGCACACACACGCACACACGCACGTCACACATGCACACACGCACATCACACGCATGCACGTTACACACAAACACACACGCACGTCGCATGCACATACACGCACATCACACATGTGCACAACACGCGCATACACGCATGCCACACACATCACACACATGCATATCACACACATGCACGCACATCACACATGCACACACATGCATGTCACACACATACGCACACACATGCACATCACACATGCACACATTACACACACGCACGTCACACACACGCACGTCACACATGCACACTCACACACATCACACATGCACATACATACATACACGTCACACACGCACACACATGCACATCACACACACATCACACATGCACACGTACACACATGCACATCACACACGCACACACACATCACACATGCATGCGTACACACATGCACACACGCACACATACCACACACATGCACGCACATCACACACATGCATGTCACACATGCACACATGTCACACATGCACACACATGCATATCACACACACATGCACTCATGTCACACACGCACACACATCACACACGCATGTCACACATGTACACACACGCACGTCACACACGCACACACAATACATGCACACACATGCACGTTACACACGCACACACACACGCACACACACGCACACACACACGCACATCACACAGGTGCTGTGTCCCAGCGCCAGGAGGACAGAGCTGTCCTGGCCATGCAGGGTGTGTGGAGAAGAGGAGAAGGGGAGGAGGAGGAGGAGGAGGAGGAGGAGGAGGAGGAAGAGGAGGAGGAGGAGGAGGAGGGGGAGGAGGAGGAGAAGGAGGGGGAGGGGGAGGAGGAGGAGGAGGAGGAGGAGGAGGAAGGCGTGAGGCCCAGGTGCTGCGAGAGCCGCGGGTGGGGGCACGGTTCCCGCTCCTGTCCCCGCCCGGAGAACATGCCAGCAGGCCCTGCTGGCTGCACCCACCTTGGGACTCGCCTCGTCCTCGCCGCTGTCTGTTCCGGCTCCGCCAGCATCGCTGAGCCCCGGGCTCAGGAGGGGGGACGGACTCTGCTCGAGGGGGCCCAGGCTCGGGGGGCTCTTCCGGGCGGAGGGAGGCCAAGGGCTGTCCACAGAAAGGCCTGGAAGTGAACGGGCAGGTGGCGTGAGGACGGGACGGGCTGCGGGGACCCCGCTGCCCCCAACCCTAACTTCTGCCAGCGGCTCTCAGGGCAGGCCAGCCTGACTCACGGTCCCCGCTGCCGCGTGGACCCCCTTCCTGGGCCACCCTGTCCCTGAGGGGGGACAGGCAGCACAGCACCGGCAAGGCGGAGCCGCTGGGCACACCGCGGGGCTGAGCCCCAGGGAATGGTGCGGTCAGGGCCACCCGGTCCCTCTGAGGGAGCCGCGTCACACGGCTGCTCGGGGTGGGGGTCCGGTCCAGCCATGGCACAGCGAGCCTCACCGGAACCGCTCCTGAGAACCGCCACGCGTGGCCTCCAGAACCAAACCAACGGCCAACCCAGCTCAAGTTCCCAGCCCTGTACGATCGTCATCAAGAGCGCTGGCGTTTCTAGAACTATTCCGAGCAAGCAGTAACATCCTTCCTTCCTGAAGCAGTGTCCCAGCTTGTCCAGCGAGGGGCTGACGAGGAAACTCAGCGGACGGGGGCCTCCACACCTGGTGCTACCCTGGGCACCAGGGCCAGGGGTAGCCGAGTGGCCCCTCAATACCTTCACCTGCCCCCAATTCTCAAAGGTTAACTGTCTATGAGACAGGAAATCATTTCATTTCATTTCATTTCATCATCCTGTTATTCGTCGATTGCCTCGAGCAGGCCCCAGTAACGTCTCCTTCATCCTAGCCCTGAGATTATATTCAAGGCTCTTTAGGAGAATGAGACCCATCCTTGTTACTGGTATTTGGCATATTTGGTGCGCCACGGGGAGTTTGCCAGACAGGAAATCAGTGACTATTAAATACCCAAACTGGAAAATACCTTTAAAGCAGAGCTTCACAGAGATTTTTTCATTTGTGTTTGGGCCGCTCTGTGCAGTGCCCTGGGCGGCTCCTGGCTCGGGGACCAGGTGTGTGGCCAGAGATCAGGCCCGAGCCGGCCACGTCCAGGGCAGGTGCTCCGCCCACTCCACCACCTCTGACCCCCTCACAAAGGGTCAGCTGTGGCTCAGAAGCACTCTCAGTCGAGCTGCCTCGGGGCCTCAAGCACGCGGTGTTTAAACACCCACATCACAGCGACACTTGGCTGACGACCTGCTGAGTGGGGGGGACCCCGCCCCCCCAGAGCCACCTCATTCCCGACAAGTCATTTCACAGCAGTCCCTGGCGCCCTGCGGGTCGGGTCCGAGCAGCACACGGTCTGTGTCCTGGCCCCAGCTGAGGCGCTCTGTCTCCTCAACAGATTCACAGCGGCGTGGGGCGACTCTGACACACCACCAGCTGGTCCCTCGCCAGTCCCCCGGGCAGGAGCGGTCGTGGGCATCAGAGCACCCCCGGACGCAGGAGAGAACAAGCTGACCTACAACCAGCCTGCCAAGGGTCACTTTTACTCCGCATTTGGCCCGTGCGAAGCCCCTTCATGTGACGCCCACTCCAGGACCCGGTGCGGGGATCCCTGTTCCAGCCAGTCAAGTGGACTCTGGGCTCCCCCCGGCCACTGGGTCTGCACTCCCAGGTCCTGGCGCACAAACGCCACAGGAGGGTCGAGAAGCTGCTGAGTCCCGGCCCCTCCCGAGTCGTGTGCCAGCCAGGAGGGCCCGACATCCACAGAGCCGGGCCGACCAGCGTGGGCAGTGCAGCCCCCCGGGCCTCAGGAAAGACCCGTCCCACCGCGTGGCACTCTCAGGGTCAGCACTGGCCAGTCTAACAAGGCCGAGGGAACCCTAGCGTGCCCTCACTGCAAGCCAGGCCCCTCTGGAGTCACGGCACGAGCTGTAGAGAGGGTCAGTGGGCCACACAGAGTCCCGGCCTGCGCCCTGGCAGTCTGCGAGGGCCCGAACCCCCAGGCATGCCGCCACACGCCCTGCCTGGCACGGGGCGGGGGGCACAGACGGCAATGTCAGGCCTGAGGGCTCCCAGCATGTTCAGGACCCTCAACGCTGAACCTGAGTCGTCAGGGGGAGAGAGACCTGGTCCCCAGTTGGCACAGCAAAGGGCTGGGCCTCAGCGCTAACAGCGTCAGGGACATGCAGAGGCTTGTGGCAACGGGTCCGCAGCTCTAGGCCACGCAGCAGCACGTGGGCATCCACGCACACACACACAAGTATGCACCCGGACACACGGGGACACTCCTGCACACACACGTGCTGGACGGTCCCTGCCCACGCACGCACATGTGTGTAAACATCGAACACATGCACATACATGTACACACCAGGAGATCCTTGCACACACGAACGTGCCCTGCACACCCTTGCACACACACCACACGTGCCCTCATGTGGCAGTGATCCCCCCCTGGCTCCGGCACAGCCTGACCCTGTCACTTGCTAACAGGGAATGTGGAAATTCCCGGGGTGGCCGTCTGAGGAAGAGTCGGGGGTCTGTGCGGAGGCAGACAGGCCCAGGATGCCCCAGCCCTGCCCGGGCCCCAGCATGGCCAGGAGCGAGTCCAGACACGGGTCTGTAGCCCTCGAGGCCCCGGATGTGGCCCCAGCCAGACCGAAAGCAAACTCTGGGCCAGCTGTGCTCCCCCTCCCGGTGGGCTGTGCTCAGCTCCAGCAGAGATGCTTCCCCTCTGGGCTGAACCCCCTCGGTGGGCACTCACTGGGCCACGGGCTGTCGGCCAGGCTGGCGCTGTGTGCCGGCGAGCCCTCCTGCACTGCCCTCTCTGCCAACCGAGGAACAGCAGGGAGGGCGCCTTCCTTGCGGGACCCACAGCCAATCCCTGACCCCTCACAGGGTCTTCTAGCGCCGCCAGGAGTGACCTCTGAGCACAGGGCCGGGAGCCAGTCCTGAGCACCGCAGGGTCTTGCCCACACCCCAAACCCAACAAAATCAAGCAGGGACAGCCCGGGGCGCGGGACTGCGTGCCAGCTCGCGGAGATGTGCAGGCTCGTCTGAGGGCTGCTGTGCTTCCAGGCTCTCTGGGGCTCAGTGGGCTGGAGCGCTAGGACCGCGGGCAGCGGTTTGCCCTGCTTGGCTGACCCAGGTCTCTGGAACCCCAGGTGGTTCCCTCAGCACCGCCAGGAGCAATTCCTGAGTGCAGAGGCAGAGCCAGGAGTCACCCCGAGCATCCCCGGGTGTGGCCCCCCAGAAAGACAGAGGCCGAGGTTTCCCGGGGCATCTGGCAGGCTTAGATGGGGGACAGGCTCCCTGGGTCCAGCAGGCCACTGCGGGTGAGGAGACAAGACATGCTCATTCTCTCGCGTGCAGTGAGGGTGCACAGTGCGTGTCTGCACATCTAAGCTGGGGCCACGGGGACCCCCACGCTGCTTCCCGCAGCTCCTGACAGCCCTGTGTCTCCCTACGACAAGCAGCACAGCCCCACGTGGCTCAAGCCACGCGAGAAGCCAGCGAGGACACGGAGACTCAGTCACCATCCGAAACACTGAGTTACGCAAACCAAACTGAAAGCAAGGAAAGGGAAGGAGGCTAAAACGCCCATTTGAAAAATCAAAGCAAACAATTTCTCGTTTTATTGAATAAACAATATAAAGATTCTGGGTTAGTACAAATCTGCAAAGTCATAAATGGCGATTTCAGTGAAAACGGTTAATAAGTACTGAGAACAAGGCGCCAGAAAAGCTTCTCAAAGCCGGCCGGCCCAGAGGTCAGAGCCTGGCCTTGCTCTGCATCCCGCTGCGAGAGCTCGCGTTCAGAGGGACACGTCCTGGAAGGGGCAGAGTGGCCACACACCCCGGCCAGCCCTGGCCCGGCCTAGGGCCAAGGCCAGGCAGAGGAAGGTGCCACAGCCTTGAGAACAGAAACTCAAACCCTCAACTCCAACTGCCGCCAAAACGCTGACACTTTTCTCTACCAACGATCCGTCCTAGGATTCATCTCTTTGTAGTGTTCCGTAAGGCACGAGGCACAAGCAGACCCTGAAGACACAGAAGCTGGCATCAAATGCACAGAGCCACGTGACCGAGAGAGACGGGCAGGGGCCATGTACCGTGTGGCCATATTACACGGCAGATGGACACGGGCATGTGCCATGTGAACATACATAACAGACAAGTGCAGGGGTTATACTGTGTGGTCATACATGAAAAGACAGGTGCAGGGCATGACCATGTGGTCAAACATAAGACATGCACATGAGTCACGTGATCACACATGACAGCTACAAAGGTCATATGTGAACATGCATGATATGCACATGGCTATGAGGTGTGTGATCATACATGATAGGCAGGTGAAGGGGCCATGTACCGTGTGATCATACATGATAGGCAGGTGACGGGGCATGTACCGTGTGATCATACATGATAGGCAGGTGACAGGGCATGTACCATGTGATCCTCCATGACAGACACATGTGCAGGAGTCAGGAAGGTATAGTCATACATGACAGGGACAGGCACATGGGCCAGGGGGTATGCAGTCACGTATGACAGAGACGGGCACAGGGGCCACGTGCAGGCGAGCAGACATGGTGCACAGGTGCTGGGGGCATGTACCGCGCCATCATACCTAAGAGTCCCATGCCGCGTGTGATCACCCATGACAGAGTCAGGGCAGGGACACACGCTGTGAGGGGCGCCCTGTGAGAGAAGCAGCTGAAGGGGCTGTTCGCACGTGATCATGTGTGACGGGCCCGGGCCACACGGAACTGATCCAGGCTACCACACCCTGGCCCCGAGCAGCCACGCAGGCCCTCGTATGGCCCAGCGGCAGCTCTCTCCGCCTCGTCAGCCTGGGCGCAGGACGCAGACGCACAGCGAGTGACACCGGTGGGGAGCTGGGACACAACGCCGGGCCCCGTCGAGCAGCGGGCAAGCGGGCAGCCAGTGGGCAAGAGGCTGGCGCCGAGCCTCCACCCCTCGCTCAAGCCGGCCACGGGGACGTCCTCCCTCAGCTGATCTGCGAGCTGGGCTCACGGCCCCGGGAGGCGGACAGGGGTGGGGGAAGCGTGGCCCAAGTCACAGTGGTCTGAAGTGGGCGTCCCCTCGGGAGGGGCCCGCCGAGAGGAGAGCTCGCCGGACAACTGTGCAGACCCCCAGGCCCTGGCAAGGCCGGGGAGATCGTGCAGGGCCGAGGCCCAGCTCAGGGCTGGCACCACGGGGTCTCGCCAGCGTGAGCACCGCCTGTGAGTCAGGCTGGCTGGTAGGACTGGGAGTGGACTTGGGTCTGCTAGCACCATCTGGGTGACCCCCAGAGAAGCCGAGTGTGAACCTGGAAGCCCCTGCACCAGCGGCTCTACTAGCACCGGGCGTGGCTGGGCCGAGGGCAGGTCCAGCCTCTGTCCACGCAGAGGCAGACGCAGCTGCCCAGCAGGGATGGGCAGTGGCCTGAGCCTTAGCTCCTGCTGCCCGTGTCAGGGGCACAAAGCGGGCGCTTGAGGCCGTGGAGATGGCGCCCGGGGCCGCAGGGAGGAGAGTGCCAGGGCCCCGTGTCCCGGAGTGAAGCACCAAAGGGCAGGGGGCTCGCCCAGGGCCTTAATGCCGGAATTGGGCTGAAGGGGCCCGTTTCTGTGCATTTCCAAAACCTTCTGCATCCATAGCTGGAGCATCACCTGCAGGGCCCTCAGGCTCACGGCGGACCCCGGCCGCTGCCCTTCCTGGCCAGCCTGCAGAAGGAGCCCAGCGGACGAGGGCCCTCTCCCTCCCCGAGGCGGCTGCCACACCTGCCCGGCTCAGTGGGCTCCCACAAGGCCAGGCCCTGCGCTCCGGGAGACGGGGTGCCAGCCCCCGGCCCCCAGTGGTTCTGGTCTGTGGCCTGCCGCGAGTCGAGGTGACTTAGGGGGGTCGCAGGGACTGGTGCGGCTCAGGAAGATGTGGAGATGGAGGGGCCACTCGACACGCAGCCCCGGCGGTGGGAAAGGAAAGGTTCCGAGAGGCCCTGGCTGAAGAGGCAGCGGCTTAAAGCTCCGGCCAGAGCATGCAGCGTGGCCACAGGACAGACACACGGACACGTGGACACGCAAGCACGGAACTCAAAGCCCAGGCCACGGGCGGATGCCTGGCTCCTGGTCGGGGCCGGCGCCCTCGGGAGTGTCCAAGTTGTCCCGGCCACCTCGGCCAGGCTGTGTCCTTCACCGCCTGCACCTCGCAGCAGCCCTGCAGGGCCTGGCCGAATGGCCCGTCACAGACCAGCTGCCCGGAGCCTGCACCCCCAGGAGAGACGGTGTCTGTGCCCTGCGTCCCGGGGTGCCTGGCCCTGCGTGTCGCCGACGGTGGCAGCCGTGTCCCCAGCCACCCTCAGGCCCACGGCTGTCTGCCCTGCAGCAGGGACGCGTCCAGTGAGGGGCACTGGTGTGGACGTCCAGCGCCTTCTCAGGGGCAGCTCTCGTGCCTGCTCTCCGCGGAGCCTGTCCTGGCCGTCCTCCCCGTCGTGCCTTTTTGACACTCGGTCCCACACTGGAGCCCGCGGCGTGAACGCTGCTGGGGTCTGCGGCATTCCTGGGCCCTCGCAGCGATGGGTGAAGAGGCCAGAGCCGTCCTCGGGCCAGGCGGCCTGGGCTAACTGGGCAGTGGCCGCACAGCACTCAGGGAGGAGCCTGGCGTCGGTCGGGTCAGACCTGTGGTGGCGGCTGACCACCGACTGGGGGCCACAGAGACGGGCACCTGCCCTCTGTCCGAGGCACAGCTTCCAGCATCTTCCAAGTGAGTTGAAATGGAAAAACGTCGGCATTCGGGTGCAGAGAGGCGGGGGTTAAGGCACTTTCCTGGCACGCGGCCAGCCGGGCTGGTTCCCCGGCACCCCCGGGGTCTCCCGAGCCCACCAGGAGTGATCCCTGAGTGCGGAGCCGGGGGCCCTGAGCACGCTGGTGTGGCCCCACGTCTCCCCTGGCCCCGTTCTTCTTTTCTCTAACATTCAAAAGGGAGAGATGAGCCTGGACGCCTAAAGAGCACCTCTGCCCGGACCCCCAACCCCCTCTCCTCGGAGGCCGCGGTGGGAGCCGCAGCTCCAGGCCTGCCCCGGGATGGCGCTCAGTGGGGGCTGCCGTGGGCCCACTCCCCCGGGGCCACGCTAGTGCCGCCGCCCAGCCAGCCGGCGGCCAGCCTCTCGCCCATGGGCTGTGCGAAGCGGTGGCCGAGGAAGAGGCTGATGTCCAGCGGGGCCTCGGGCTCGGAGCCCCAGGAATCGGCCTCGCTGCTGCTGGGGCTCTCGGCCGCCGTGGGCGGGCAGCTGAGCTGCTCCAGCTGGTCCACGATGTCGGAGAACTGGAAGGCGGAGCTGGACTCGGAGCGCACGGAGCAGGCGGGGAAGTTGGCCATGGAGCTGGCCTCGGACTGGCCGGCCGAGCTGGGCGTGTGCAGGGACAGGCTGAGCGGCAGCCGGCCCAGGGAGCCGCTCGGGCTCGGGGACGGGCTGTTCCGGAGCGAGCCGGTGTCCGAGGGGCTGGGCGGCCCCCGCAGGAGGCCCGGGGAGTCCGCGGCGTGCTCCCCCTCCGAGTCGCAGCTGTCGGCGTCCAGGTGCACGGCCTCCGTGGAGTACCTGTCCGGGCTGGACCGCGCAGAGCAAGGGCGGCTGCCCAGGGCCGGGGCCCTCGAAGAGGCGCCACTCCTGCTGCCAAAGGGGAAGGCGAACGCCTCGGAGCCGCCGGCAAAGAACGAGATTTCGGCCGGGTCGTCGTCTATGAACTCCTCGGACACCTGCAGGGGGGTGCCTGCCAGCGTGAAGCCGGGGCCGCCCCCCACGCCTGGGCGGCCACACGGGGGCAGGCTCGCGCCCTGGTCCCGGGCCAGCCTGGGTCCCCTGCCAGTCCCGCCAGGCTCCGGGCTGAAGGCTCGGGGCCCGCACCCCCTCACTGCGGGGCCCCACCCCGAGGCACCTGGGCCTGGCTGTGGCTCGGGGGCGCCGGGGGGCTGGGCCCGGCCGGCAGCTCCACTCCTCTCCGCCGCTGGGGGACAGCCGTGGTCCTTGAAGTCGGGCAGGCCAGCGGGGGCCAGGGGGCACGCAGGGATGGAGAAGAGGCCGGAGGCCACAGGCGTCCTCGAGGCCTCGGGGAGGGCTGTGGTCTGGGGGGAGGAGAGAAGAGAAACGGGGACATGAGACAGGCGTCCCGTCTGGGGGCTGCTGTCCCGCACGCTTGCCGGCCTCTGCAGCGAGGGTCCCCGGGCCCCAGGTGAGGCCTGTGGCAGGGACCGGCTCTGTCCGGTTCAGCCTCCAGACACAGCCGCAGGCCTGGGCAGGGGCAGGGGCAGGGAAACGAGCGTGAGGGGGCAGCCGCCCAGGGTGGGCCCGACAGAGCCACTGGCCATGGGGGGAGAGGCCAAGCCGGGCCCGTCTGTGACGCAGGGCTGGAGGCGGGACGGGCTAGACCCCACCCAGAGGGAATGAGGGTCACCCGGGAGGGCACGGCAGGAGGCGAGGAGAAGCGTGTCCTCGGGCTGAGCGGGAGGCCACGAGCACCAGGCAGGGAGCAGTGCGAGCCTGGGGTGGCCACGGAACAGGGCACAGGGCAAAACAGACTGCCCATGGGGCCGGGCAAGGACGGAGCCTCCAGCCCACGGCAGCCAGCCTGAGGGCCGCAGAGGGGCCCCGGCCAGCCCCGGCCGTGCCCAGAGAGCCACAGCCCCCAGGGGCACTGTGCCAGTGCCAGGGACCATGAGAGTAGCAGCAGCAGGGAGGGGCGGGGAGGGGAGGACTAGAAGCTCTCCTGAATGGCGAGGACCCTGGGGGCCTCAAGGGGGGCCCAGCACCTCTGGGGGGGCCCAGACCACAAAACAAGGACTCAAGAGCAATGGCATCTGAGAGACAGAGGGCGCACGGGAGGCAACGCACAGCTCACCCGCGTCCACCCTGGCCCCACTCAGCGAGCCCTGAGGCCAAGTGGTTGCAGCGCTCAAGCCTGTCCCCGCCGAGGGAGGCTGTGTGTGTTCTGCCAGAACGACACAGGAAAGGACACTGCGTGGGGGCTGGAGAGACAGTTCAGCGGGGAGAGCACTGGCCTTGCAGGTAGCTGACCAAGGGTTTCATCCCCAGCACCCCACATGGTCCCCAGGAGTGATCCCTGAGCACAGAGCCAGAAGAAACTCCTGAGCACTGCTCGGTGTGGCCCCCAAGCAAAAAACAAAACACAAAGGAAAAGAACACTGCAGAAATAAAACGTTGGGGCCGGAGCAGTAATACAGTGGGGAGGGCTTTTGCCTTGCACGCAGCTGGCCTGGGTTCGATCCTTGGCATCCCATATAGTCCCCTGAGCACTACCAGGAGTGATTCCTGAGCACAGAGCCAGGAGGAAGCCCTGAGCATCGCTCGGTGTGACCCAACAAGCAAAACGTTGCATTGCAGCAATGGAAGAATTATGTCTTCCTGTGGTGTTGGGTGACACAGGTCACCATGTCCCATGGTGTGGCTGACACAGGCCACCGTGTCCCATGGTGTGGCTGATACAGATCACTGTGCCCTGTGGTATGGCTGACACAGGTCACTGTGTCCTGTGATGTGGGCTGACACAGGTCACCGTGTCCCGTGGTGTGGCTGACACAGGTTGCTGTGTCCTCTCGTGTGGCTGACACAGGTTGCTGTGTTCTCCTATAGTGGGGGTGACAGGCTGCTGTGCTCCCCTGTGTGGGGCTATCTCTGTCACACTGGGCTGGGCACCAGTTCTCAACGTGTGACCCATGTGCGCCTCTCCCTTTGAGGTAGTGGCATCACGTCAACACATGTGAATCTGTTTCCTGCTTCTCACCTCCGACACAATACAAGACTTTCCTGCCATGTTACTAGTTTCCCTGCACAGTGCTTTGCGGGTCATGGAACATCCTGTCCAGTGAGCACAGTGGGGGGGGACAAAGAAAGGGAGGGAAGGGGAAGGAAAGGACGCAGCCAGGCCTGGACTATGCTACGGTGAGAGCTAGTCTGCCTGCACCAACGCACTGGCCACCACAGCCGCAGCCTTAGCCACGGCCTCCACAGCCGGTCACACCTATCTCTAAGGCCAGTGCCCAATCATGCATGGTCACTAAGGCCAGCGACTGGTCACGCATGGTCATTAAGGCCAGTTCTCAGTCACGTGTGGTCACTAAGGCCAGCACCCGGTCAAGTGTGGTCACTAAGGCCAGCGCCCGGTCACGTGTGGTCACTAAGGCCAGCGCCCGGTCACATGTGGTCACTAAGGCCAGCGCCCGGTCACATGTGGTCACTAAGGCCAGTGCCCGGTCACGTGTGGTCACTAAGGCCAGCGCCCGGTCACGTGTGGTCACTAAGGCCAGCGCCCGGTCACGTGTGGTCACTAAGGCCAGCGCCCGGTCACATGTGGTCACTAAGGCCAGTGCCCGGTCACGCATGGTCACTATGGCCAGAGTGCCCTGGTGGGCCTGAGCCTGCACAGACAGTGCCACGTGCTCCGAGCCAGTGGGAAGTCTGACTGTGTGGCCACACACTCACGCCCACTCGCAGGCTGGCCCAGTCCCCCGCCTCCCCACGCTGCAGACTCACCTGCCGGGGCAGCTCCTGGACAGACAGCCGTGTCTTGCTGTGTCTCCTGCAGAGAGAACAAGGCATGAGCCACCATGTGCTTGCCAGGACACGTCTGAGAACTGGGCAGGAGCCTCTGGCCGTGAGGGAAAGTGCCCGCCGGCCAGAGACCGGGGAGGCTCCAACACACACCTGGGATGTGCTCAGGCTGGGTCTGACCCCGGGCGCCACAGGGTCTGCAGTCGGGCGGGGTGGCCCTGGCGTCTGCCCTGCAGCGCCCGCCAGCATTGCCAGGGGCCCTTGGCCCCGAGCAGGCTGGGCGACCCCCACTCGCCACCAAAGGAAAACCACAAAGTGCTAAAAACTGCTTGTGCGGCCAGAGAGATAGCACAGGGGCAAGGGGCTTGCTCTGCGCGGTCAACCAGCCCTGGTTCGAGCTCGTAACTGTGTATGGTCTACTCCTGAGCACCACCAGGAGTGGCCCCAAACCCAGCCCCCTCAGAGAGAGAAAGAGAGAGAGAGAGAGAGAGAGAGAGAGAGAAAGACTTTAACTCATGGAAGGTTCAAGAGTTAAAACCTCGACTCTCCAAACACTCCGTGGGGGCTGGAGCTGTAACAGCGCTGGGCGCTTGCCCGCACATGTCTGACCCCCGGCTTCCATCCCAGGACCCCTGTGGGCCCCTGAATCTGCCAGGAGAGAGCCCTGAGCATCGACAGCTGTGGCCCCCAAACCAAACGAAATCCCCAGACACAAACTGTACCCAAGCTCTCACCCGTCTCACCTTTCGTAGGGAACTCTCTTCACCCCACCGTCTCTCACGTAGTCGACCAACTGCTTCTGAGTCCGCCCACTGCGCAAAGATTCAGTGTTAAAAGTGAGAGCAATTCAGAGTTTCACTACTTTACAATTAAAGACAAAGTCAGACCCGCCCGTCTTCTCTCATAAACTCTTACAAACATTCAAGTCCTTCATCTGCAGTGGCTGGTCACCTGTGGCTGCCACAAAGCCCGTTTCCTACGGCTGCCATGTGACTCGGGACCCTCGAGCTGTCCCGGCCTGGACCCGAGCATCCCGGCTACGAGGTCCTCACCTGTATCTGAAGGAGGAGCCTCTGCCGAAGAAGGCGGTTTTCGCTCTGGGCTTGGGCTGGTCGAGCAGCCGGAAGAAGGTGTGATACTCCACACAGATCTTCCAGAAGTTCTTACACTCGTCTCTGCTCCCCATCAGGAACTCCAGTGTGTCCTGGTGCGGCCCCTGGAGAGAGAAGACCAACGTCCGTGAGCGACTGGGCAGGGTGTAGGGGCAGTGCAGACCCCGGGGGTCTCCCAGCCAATGCAAGAGACGCATGCCCTGAGTCTGTGGGCTGGGCCCCTGCCACCTCCGGGCAGCCAGCATCCAGCATTACTGTTTCCCGGCCACTGCGTCTAACGGCTGTGTCTCCTCCCCGCCCACATCGTCCACATGCCGTCCACGCCCGGGCTGTTCCTGCACCAGCCGGCTGGGCTAGAGGGCGTGGGGGCCTTGAGGGCATGTGGGCTCCAGGCAGAGTACTCCTCCCACCGCAATCCCCGAGGCAAGCTACCAAGAGTATCCCGCCCGCATGGCAAACTCCCTGTGAGGTACTTGATATGCCAAAAACAGTAACAGCAAAGTCTCACAATGGAGACGTCCCTGGTGCCCGCTCGAGCAAATCGATGAACAACGGGAGGACAGTGCTACAGTGGCGTGCAGTGCTATGTTGTTTGTTCACAAAATGGTAGGTGGAATCATCAAAAAATAATTCAATAAAGGGAAGTCTGTGAAGACTGTGGCATCTTACAATGGGGTTCTTAAAGCCACTGTCTGAGGACTTACTGGCCAGCTGTTGCTGGTTAAACCTCCTGTGTTGCTGTTTTTATTTACTGAACTCAGCTGGCGTCTATGCTACTTTCCTGCTAATCTGCTGTGCTCCTTCTGGGCGTGAGCGTGGGAATCTGCAGGCAGCTGCTCCCAGAACTCCAGGCTCTGCAGAACTGGACGGTTCTCGGCGTGGGGCCCTCGAGCTTTTGGCTTGAAGACTGGTGAGTCCCATCGGCTTGGATCTCCAGTGAGACCGGTTGTAAGGCTGGACACTTAGATGGCTATGGCTGCCCGTCCTACTCCGGGAAGACCCCCGAGCTTCCAGCCTGAAGCCCCGTGTGCCTGGGAATCCCACGGCCTTGCTGTCTCTGTAGACACACGTGTGAGGCTGTGCAGTTTGGCTGTTTGTATGACGGTGGCTGTGGGGCATGGGAGAGAGCCTCACTGGCGTGGCACCTCTTCTGTGATCAGTTGTGAAGTGGTGAAGCATGACCGTTTACATGACAGCAACTATGGGATGTGGGCCAAAATCTGTTTATTTCTGTTTTGTGTCTGGGCCACACCCAGTGCTGCTCAGGGGTCCTTCCTGCCTCTGGGGGACCAGACGGGATGCTGGGGATTGAACCCGGGTCAGCACCTGCAAGGCAAATCAATGCCTCAACTACCTCTGGCCCCCAAGTCCATTCTTTTAATGAAAATATTTTTGGTTTGTGTGTTGGGCCACACTGAGCATCACTGAGGTATGACCCAAAAAAGAAAGAAAACATGTAATTTTAATTTTGCTTTGTTTTTATACTGTTATTATTAAAATGGCCATTAAGGTTTTCTTTGGTTACCATTTAACTTCTATGTATTGTTCTGTAAATTCTCATTCTTTTTGTGTACTTAAATTTTATGTATGCATGTATGTATGTATTAAGGCTTACCCTTAATATTTGTTGAAGCAAGAGTACAAATGTATGTTAAATTCTAATTGTTTGACAACTAAGTGAGTTGAACCCTGTACTCTCTAGGCCCTGGGAATTTTTAAATCTTAAACACTTCGTGTGTGTGTGTGTGTGTGTGTGTGTGTGTCTTTTTGCTATGTTTTTCTCCTTCCCTGTTCCCCCCTTTTTCTGTATTGGTGGAGTTTAGGGGGAATTATTTTTATTTTTCTCATTCCATTATTGGGCTGAAGCGATAACACAGCGGTAGGGCATTTGCTTTGCAAGCGGCTGGCCCGACTGAGCCGGATTCGATTCCTCTGCCCCTCTCGGAGAGCTCTCTTGGACAGTCCCACAAGCTACCGAGAGTTTCTCCTCTGCACGGCAAAGCCTGGCAAGCTACCCGTGAAATATTCGATATGCCAAACACGGTACAACAAGTCTCAAAATGGAGACGTTACTGGGCCTGCTCGAGAAAATCGATGAACAATGGGAGGACAGTGCTACAGTGAGTGGACAGTGTTGGGCCACGCCTGGTGATGCTCAGAGCTGACTCTGGCTCTGTGCTCAGGGAGCCACAGGAGTGCTGGGGATTGGACCAGACCGACAGCTGTACTCTCTGGCTCCTTCATTACAGTTTCAAAAAATAATCTAGATGTTGCCCCCTCCCTCGTCGATCCTCCAGCCCCTCACGTGGCCTGTTTCCTACTGGAGTCCAGCTCTCAGGCTTTGGCTTCACTGTCGCTGAGCGTCCGTTACTCCCCCCATTGTGTTTCTCTGCACCCTGCAGATGAGGTCATCGGTGTCGCTCTCTCCCTCTGACTCATTTCACTCCGCACGGTACGCCCCAGGACCCCCAGGAGGCGGCCAATGCCATGACTTTCTCCTCCCTTAGAGCCGAGCAGTATTCCATGTGTATGCGGACCACAGTCTCTTTCTCCTGCATCTACTCTTGGCCGCTTGGGTTCTCTCCAGATCTTGGCTACTGTGGGTGGTGCTGCCAGGAACATCAGGGTGCAGACGCCTCTTCTCTCTTCCTTGTGCGCTGGGGCCTCCCTCTCCTGTCTTGAGGCTGTCTCGGGGCTATGCCTGGCGGTCCTCAGTGGAGTCTGGGCCTGCCACAGGCCACGCGGGCACAGCGCCAGCCGGGCCGGCCTGGACCGGGACTGACAGTCCTTGAGGAAGCATCTGTGACACCTGTGCTCCAGGCCTGGTGGACAGCCACGGTTTCCCCAGCAGCAGAGAGCAGGACCACGGTGGGTCCCTCCATAGCGAATGCCCCACTTGACTGAGGTGACACTGGGACCACACCGGAGTGTGGCCGAGCCTGAGAGGCACCCTCTCGGCCGCCCCTGCAGAGCCTGGCAGCAGACACGGCCCACACGGAAAGAGGTGGCCTCAGTTTCCCCACCAGCTGCTGGGAGCACGCCCATTTTTGAGTAGCCCAACCTACATTTCTGACTTCCAGGGAATTCCTGGGCTCTTTCTGATAAGCAGGAAGTCAACTGTCCATCACGAAACTTTTCTCCAAAGCTTCAATGAAGAGCTAGATAACTGAGGCTAAGATAATGGCAGTATCTAAGGCGAATGGCAGACAGCCACCTCTCTGATCCTTGCATTCTCTGAAACATTCTTGCCCGTCCCTAAGAAATGCAAAGAGCCCAATTTTCGTCTAAAAGGGCCCCACAAAAAACCCGGATTGTTAACTTCCGGCAATTTCTGTAACACAAAGACCCAGTTTTCCCATAAAAAACCCATAAAAGGAGCCACAGATAACAGTCCAGTACTGAGTTTCTCCCCCCAAGGGGAGTTCCTTTTCCTCTTTTCCTTTCCACTAAACTTTTTTACTTTTCAATTCTGAGTCTGAGCATCTCTGTTTCTTGAGAATATTAAAAACTTGGAAACGGTGGACGGGTGGAGACCACCCGCTCCTGAGTCAACACCCCCGTGTCCCCTGCCCCGCAGTCCTGCACTTTCCTGAGGTTTCGTGTGCTCATGGGGCTACGTACGTGGGCCTCGGGGTGGAGTTTGATGAGAAACCGCTTCCTCTTGAAGCTCAGTTTGCGGACCTTGGACCAGTTGAAAGTGTTGATTTTGGTTGTGCTCTGAAAACAAAGAGAGGGACAAGCTGAGTGACACCTGTGATGCAGAGACACACACACACTTCTCTCGAGGCACAAGCTGAGGAGGAAACTTCTGCTGCGCTGTGGGCACACACCCACGTGAGGGGCCAACGAGTCGACTGGGCCAAGTGCCTGGGCCACTGGAGATCACAAAACAGACCACACTCACAAGCACACAAGCACTCTCTCACACACACAGTCCACACACACACACACACACACACACACACACCAGAGTCACATGTCCCAGAGACACCCCCCCCCACACACGCTGAGTTACATGTCCCAGACACACCACCCACCTACTCAGTCACACGTCCCAGAAATACATATATATACACGCACACAGTCACACATTCCAGAAACACCCGCAGCGCAGTCTCCACCCTGGAGACCCCTGCACAGCAGGACAGAGCATGGCACGCGTGTTGCTGTTCACAGTCTGCTGTGTGGACATGCCATCTCTTCCTGTCCCCCTGAGGACTGGTCAGTGTCTGACTGTGGTCACTGCCGAGGCCAGCAGCAGACACTTCAGGGGACTCTGGCGCAGGTGGTGTCTGGCCCCTCCCGAGGTGCTGCCCCCCAGGGTTGACTGGACCCCCACCTCCCTGGACACAGCACCTCCTCGAGGCCCTCTGTCCTTGGGAGTGCCCGGTGCCATGTGCTGAGAGTCCTCATCTTCCCTGGCTGGGGAACTGGCAGCCGCTACACAGAACCCGTGCCAAGACCTGCCCTGCTGACCCTGTCCAGTGGGCTGCGGGCAGGGTGACTGGGCTGGCGGGAGAGGGCCACATGCTCCAGAGAGGAGGAGGAGCCCCTCCCCCACCCAGAGGCACAGGCGTGCTGCCAGCCCAGGGGTTCCGAGGTCAGCGGCCGTGGGTGGCTGGGGGTGCTGCCTCGGATGGACACCGAGTGCTGGCTGCATCAGGTGGTCAGCTCTGGGCGCTGAGCCTGGCGCCCTGGGCTCCGCGTCACCTACCTGGAACACCAGGACCCCCATGTGGGACACGGCGAGGCTGATCCTGGCACCCTCCCGGTCGGCGGCGGGGTGCAGCCTCACACCATACAGCTCCAGCTTGCGGGCGATCTCTAGCACCTGGAAGTCGGACTCGGCCGGCGTCTGGCCCCTGCGGTGAGTGAGGGCAGCGTGCTCACACCCTCCCACCCATGTGACCGTCGGCCCACCTACAGCCGCGTCTGCAGGGCAGGCGGCCGGGACAGAACCGCTGCTCCCAAAACTCCTGAAAGCTCCGCTCAGAGGTGGGAGCGTGTGTCCTCCCTCTCGGGACGCGCAGGCTGACAAACGCCAAGCTGCCCAGCGGCCCACCCAGGGAGTCTGTCCAGGGTGCTGGCCGGCCACAGCACTGGCCCTGGGTTTCACGCAGACCCATGGAGTGTCTGAGGGAGGCGGGGCACAGTGGGAAGGGCATGGAGCCGGCACCGGGGCCTGGCGGTGGCCTCTCAGAGCACCGAGTGACGGACGGGGTGGGACAAGGGGCTGTGGGGCAAGCCCGGCCTCCGGGACGCTCTCGGATGGGGTTTCCAGAACGCAGAGCTCGGCCCAAGTCTTAGAGGCCGAACCGGCGGCAGCACCAGGGGGCTTGGCGTGCACCAGTCCCCACTGCCCCAGGGGCGTCGTCCTCGGGAGAACACCTGGCGGGTCTGCAGGAAACCTCCTGTGACCCCTGCCTGGGTCCAACACGTGCCCTTTATTTATTTTTTCATTTTTTGCTTCTTGGGTCACACCCGGCGATGCTCAGGGGTTCCTCCTGGCTCTGCACTCAGGAATGACCCCTGGTGCTACTCGGGGACCATATGGGATGATGGGAATCAAACCCGGGTTGGCCGCGTGCAAGGCAAACGCCCTCCTTGCTGGACACATGCCCTTTAATGCCCACCCAGTGGGTGGTTACCCAGGAGGGCTGCAGGGTGCTGGGGGGCGGGGTCTGGGGGCTCCCCCCAGTCTGGCGCTGAGACGGGCAGAGGAGCTCAGCTGCCGTGTGGCTCAGCTTTGCCGGCGGCAGCAGGTCCAGAGGCTCAAAGCTCCCTCAGAAGGAAAATCAAGACAATCACCCCAGACGGGAGCACTGAGCTGGGAGTCAGCCCTGAGCACCAGCGGTCATGGTCCCACCCAACCCCACAGAGGCAGTCAGGTGCAGGGGTGCAAGGAGCGAGACCCTTGGGCCCACACGGCGCTGGCTGAGGCAGGGTCACTGCGGGTGGGATGGGCGGACTGTGCTCTTCTCTCCTCCTTCCTTCCCTCCCTCTCAGGCTCAGCTGCTGGCCTCTCCCTCGTGCCCTGGCCAGCGCCTCAGGCCTCCTGGCAGGCTGGGCATAACTGGGCCGGACACTTCACAGGCAGCCCCTTCCTGCGTCCACTCTGCTCTGGCACCCGGGGCCTGCGGCCTTAGGGGCAGGCATGTCACTTGGGCTGGCACTGGGCAGGGCCTCTCCGTGTGGCTGGCCAGTAGTCTGGGCCATTCTTCCTTCTGACTGGCCAGTATCAAGCGAGGCTTGAAGAGGCCAAACCAAGGGCCCCGGGAGACAGCAGCGTCCATGGGCCCCGGGAGACAGAAGTGTCCACTGTGCTGAGCCCAGCTCTGAGACTGGCCCCACGGGCAGCCCGAGTGCTGAGCTCTGGCCCCAGGGGCGCAGGCTGCAGTGTGGAGGGACTGTGGAGGGACTTGGCCCAGAGGCTGCAGGACGCCATGGCCCAGACCCAGCTGCGCACCAGCACCAGGAGCTGGGCACCCGCTGCCGTCCAGTTGCTGTGTGCTGGGGGGAGGGGCATGCTCAGGGTGACTCTTGGCCATCAGGGCCATGGTCAGTGCGAGGCTCGGGAACATGGAGCCCTGGGGGGCTACTGCACTAGGACACCCCCGGGGGGCATTAGTGCCCAGCAGCTGTGAGGGGCTGCCAGGACTCAGTCCCTGAACTCTCCTGGCCCCCTTGGCTCTCTGACCCAGGGCCAGGACTTGTGAACACCCTCCCCAGCGCTCCGTTGTTTCTGGAATGTTCCCTGCTGTGAGGCTCATTCCTCAAAGCTCTCTCTCCTTCTCCCTCCACACAGCTGCACAGAGCAGACCCAAGGCCCAGCAAGGACCGCCTCTGCACACGTGTGAACAAGAGTGCGCTGTGCGACTGTGCCTATGTGAGAACACGTGTATACATGTATCTGTGCACGAGTGTCTATGCATGAGTGTGTCTGTGCACGAGTGTGAGACTGTGCATGGGTGTGTGATATGCATATGTGGCTGCAGGTGTGACTGCACAAGTATGTGACTTGCCTGAGTGTGTAACCATGCATGTGTGTGACTATGCATGTGTGTGTGTGTGTTGGTCACTTTAGTGTAGGAGTTTGTTCACACTTGCTGCATTGCCACTGCTGCAGTGATTTGCGTCAGGCCTCTGACTAACTCACATGTGCTTCCGATGGAATTCCAGAACCTTCTCCAGAGAGCGTTCCTGGCTGGGCAGGTACTGGTGGCCTTTGAGGTGTTCTCGATCCAGGGTTTCATCATAATCGCCAATTTCGGCTGTTTTTAAATAAAGCAACACACATTTGCAGATGTGAACATATATGCACCGAGAGTAGAGAAAGAGCCTAAATCTGGTCAAATAATGGCCCTGCCACAGAGGCAGGGTGGGATGGGGGGTGGGGGGTGGGAGGGATACTGGGATCAGTGGTGGTAGAGAATGGGCACTGGTGGAGGGATGGGTATTTGATCATTGTATAACTGAAACCCAAGCATGAAAGTTTGTAAGTCTACAACTGTACCTCATGGTGTATCACTAATAAAAATTAAAAAAAAAAAAGACTCTCCTTGTAGGGGGCCTTTGGTTTGATGTCAGGGCCACCCCTGGTACTGTGGGGTGGCTCCTGGCCGTCTGTCTCCCACTGAACAAGAGTCCGTGCGGGTTTGGGGGCCACACCCTGCAGTGCTCAGGGCTGACTCCCACCTCTGCACTCAGGAATCACTCCTGGTGGGCTTTGGGGACCCTCTGGGATGCCAGGGATCGAACCTGGGCCGGCCGCATGCAAGGCAGGAGCCCTTTCCTCCCGGGGTGGGCCTGCAGTGTGTGAGGACTACGAAGCTGGACCCTGAAGCCATCTGCCACACCAGTGGCCGAGGGGATGGTCCCTTCCCGGGGCCTCACTGCCCAGTAGGGCACAGGGTCGATGTAGGTGGACACGGATCAGGATGCACTCCCCCCAGGACTGACCCTGCAGGAGATGGGCGGTCAGCAGTGCGGCGGTGGTGTCCGCACACGTCAGACGGCCCTCCAGGAGGTCTCGCTTCAGCTGCAAGGCAAACAAGTACCTGCAAGGAAGCAGAAGAGCTCGGACATCAGCCAGGCACCAGCACTTCCCCCAGAAACAAACTGCAGGGCTCAGGAGGCAGCGGGAGTCAGAGAGGGCACGGCGAGGGCAGGGCAGCAGCAGGCTGCCTCACAGAGGGCCACGGGAGCACCCGCAGAGGGGACAGAGGCCACGGGAGCACCCGCAGAGGGGACAGAGGCCACGGGAGCACCCGCAGAGGGGACAGAGGCCACGGGAGCACCCGCAGAGGGGACAGAGACCACGGGAGCACCCGCAGAGGGGACAGAGGCCACGGGAGCACCCGCAGAGGGGACAGAGGCCACGGGAGCACCCGCAGAGGGGACAGAGGCCACGGGAGCACCCACAGTGAATAGGCCCCGCAGACGAGCACTGGGAAGAGGCTCTCCCAGAGCACCATCTCCCACAGAGTAGCACAGTCCGCGGCTGGGCCTTCTGGGGAAAGTCCTCCCTCGTGTTCCACAGACAAACACGCCGGCCACCGAGTGTGGAATAACAGAAGTGCTCAATTAAGGTCCGGCTTAAGCTGCTGCCAGATGTTCTTAAATGTTCAAATATTTGGTCTTGGCTAGAGTCTGCTCACGGGCACTCCCGAACGTCCCCTTGGAGGGCACACCAGGAGGGGAGACGCCGACGGGTCACTTATCCCATCAGCAGGAACAGGAACCACTGAACCCAGATTCACTATGCCTCTGTCAGCACCCTCTGATCTCTGAGGTTAAGTGAGCACAGGGCTGGAGAGCACAGTGGGCAGGGCGCTTCTTGGGTTTGGTCCCCCGAGCCCGCCAGGAGTGATCCTTGAGCACAGACCCAGGAGTAAACCCTGAGCACCACGAGGTATGGCCTGAGAGCCGCCCAAAAACCAAAACACCTTGACTGCAGACGAGCAGGTGGACACAGATGCACCCCCACCCACCCCCTCAGGACTGCCAAGCCTCTCTAGCCAGAAGCGTGGACAAGGTGTGTGCCGGCCACGTGGCCACGCCAGGGAGGTGATGCCCATCAAGGCGCCAAGGAACGAAGCATGCCGAGACGCAGGGAGAAGCCCGCGTCACGCTCAGGCACACGTGGGCAGGAACCCGCCATGGCCCCACACGAGGCCTTACTGCCTCTGAACGAACAGGCATCCCCCACGGCAAGGGGTGGCTGGGCGGGGTGGCAGGGACCCTCTGGACGGAGAGTTTCCTTCTTTGATCGTGACTGTCTGGCCATGAACTCTGAGGGCCTGGGCACCTGCGGGTGTGGATGCGGGGACCACGGCACACCAGGCTGGGCACCTTGCCCAGGGCTCACCGCGCAGGCTGCCCATTTCCCAGTGGCTGCGTCCACACCTGGCTCTGCCTCCCTGCTGGGGCCCACCCTGCTCTGTGACTGACCGTGAGGTGACCTCCACAGGCACCAGCTTCAGTGTGGGAGCCCAGGAGGCCGCGTGACTCATCACCACAGCGTCACCCATCTGACAGCTCGGGAGCTGACCGCCGTATGGGAGACACGGTGAAGCCTCCAGATGGAGGAGGCTTCTGTCCACGGCCTGTCCTGCTCCGTGAGGGCCCCTTTCAGCCCTCCTCTCAATCTCCCTCTCAGTCCCCCTCAGACCCACTCTGTCCCATCTTAGTCCCCCTCAGACCCACTCTGTCCCATCTCAGTCCCTGTCAGTCTCCCTCAGTCTCCCTCTCAGTCCCTTTCAGTCCCCCTCTCAGTACCTTTCAGTCTCCCTCTCAGTCCCCCTCATCGAAGTCTCATTCCCTCTCAGTCTCTCTCTCAGTCCCCCTCAGTCCCTCTCAGTTCCACTCCCAGTTCCTCTCAGTCTCCTTCTCGGTTTCCCTCTCAGTCCCCCTTGGTCTCTCTCTCAGTTCCTCTCAGTCCTCCTCTCAGTCCCTCTCAGTCCCCCTCAGTCCCTTTCAGTCCCCCTCAGTTCCTTTCAGTCTCCCTCTTAGTCCCTCTCAGTCCCTTTCAGTCTCCCTCTCAGTCCCCCTCAGTCTCCCTCTCAGTCCCCCTCAATCCCACTCTCAGTCTCCCTCAGTTCCCCTCAGTCTCCCTCTCAGTCCCCCTCAATCCCACTCTCAGTCTCCCTCAGTTCCCCTTTGATTCCCTCTCAGTTCCCCTCAGTCTACCTCTCAGTCCTTTTCAGTCTCCCTCTCAGTACCTCTCAGTTTCCACCTCAGTCCCACTCTCAGTCTCCCTCTCATTCCCTCTCAGTCCCCCTCAGTCCCTTTAGTCTCCCTCTCAGTCCTCTCAGTCCCCCTCAGTCCCACTCTCAGTCTCCCTCATTTCCCCTTAGTTTCCCTCTCATTCCCTCTCAGTCTCCCTCTCAGTCCCTTTCAGTCTCTCTCTCAGTCCCACTCAGTCTCCCTCTCAGTCCCACTCAGTCTCCCTCTCAGTACCTCTCAGTCTCCCCCTCAGTCCCACTCTCAGTTCCTCTCAGTTCCACTCGCAGTCCCTCAGTCTCCCTCTCGGTCCCCCTCAGTCCCTTTTAGTCTCCCTCTCAGTCCCTCTCAGTCCCCCTTAGTCTCCCTTTCAGTCCCCCTCTCAGTTCCTATCAGTCCTCCTCAGTCCCTTTCAGTCTCCCTCTCAGTCCCTCTCAGCCCCCCTTAGTCTCCCTTTCAGTCCCCCTCTCAGTTCCTATCAGTCCTCCTCAGTCCCTTTCAGTCACCCTCTCAGTCCCTTTCAGTCTCCCTCTCAGTCTCCCCATCAGTCCCTCTCAGTCTCCCTCAGTTCCACTCTCAGTCCCTCTCGGTCTCCCTCAGTCTCACTCTCAGTCCCTCAGTCCCCCTCAGTCCCTTTCAGTCTCCCTCTCGGTCCCCCTCAGTCCCCCTCAGTCTCTCTCTCTCAGTCCTCCTCTCAGCCCCTCTCAGTCCCCCTCAGTGCCTTTCAGGATCCCTCTCAGTCCCTCTCAGTCCCCCTCAGTCCCACTTTCAGTCCCTCTCAGTCCCCCTCTTAGTCTTCCTCTCAGTCTCTCTCAGTCTCCCTCTCAGTCTCTCTCAGTCTCCCTCTCAGTCTCTCTCAGTCTCCCTCTCAGTCCCCCTCAGTCTCCCTCTCAGTTCCTCTCAATCTCCCTCTCAGTCCTTCTCAGTCCCCCTCAGTCCCTTTCAGTCTCCCTCTCAGTCCTTTTCAGTCTCCCTCTCAGTCCCTCTCAGTCCCCCTCAGTCCCTCTCAGTCTCCCTCTCAGTCCCCCTCAGTCTCCCTCTCAGTCCCTTTCAGTCTCCCTCTCAGTCCCTTTCAGTCTCCCTCTCAGTCCCCCTCAGTCCTACTCTTGGTCCCTCTCAGCCTCCCTCAGTCCCACTCTCAGTCTCCCTCTCAGTCCCCATCTCAGTCTTCTCCCCCTCGGGCCCTCTCAATCTTCCTCTCAGTTCCACTCAGTCCCTCTCAGTCTCCCTCAGTCCCACTCTCAGTCCTTCTCAGTCTCCCTCAGTCCCACTCTTAGTCTCCCTCTCAGTCACCCTCCCAGTCTCCCTCTCAGTCTCCCCCAATCTCCCTCTCAGTCTCCCTCAGTCCCCCTCAGTCTCCCTCTCAGTCCCTCTCAGTTCCTCTCAGTCCTTCTCAGTCCCCCTCTTAGTCTCCCTCTCAGTCACCCTCCCAGTCTCCCTCTCAGTCTCCCCCAATCTCCCTCTCAGTCTCCCTCAGTCCCCCTCAGTCTCCCTCTCAGTCCCTCTCAGTTCCTCTCAGTCCTTCTCAGTCCCCCTCAGTCCCTTTCAGGCGCCCGGGGGTGCACCTTGCTGAGGAGGCAGCTAACCCATGGGGCCGAGGCGTGTGCATCATGCATGGCGGAGGCTGTTTCCAGGCCTCGAGCATGAGTGTGTAGAGCTGTGCCGAGCCGGGTTCTGAGTGCTCCTCACTGGGCCATGGCCGGGGTCCTGCCTGCTGGCTTTGCTGCACCCGTGGACGCCCAGGGGCCACCCTGCCGCTGGGAGATGCTGTGGTGTGGTGCGGGGGCAGAGCTGCCATCCCCCCAGCCCAGGGCTGATTCCTGGCGTCTGAGGGTGCTGGGGGCAGGGCCCGGCCACTCCCGCGGCACACGGGCGCCCGCTTGAGGCTGGCCCGGCCTCGCTCCCCTCGGCCCCCGCACTTCTCATTCTCTTCATCTCCGCTTCTGTCGGGGGGTCACACGGGGGCGCTCGGGGCTGCCCTTACCGGGTGTACTCCTCCTGCAGCTGGCCGGGGTCGGGCGGGAAGAACTTCACCGCCAGGTGGAGCACCGTGTTCCTCGGCCCTGGGAGAGGGAAACGGCAACCTCAGCAACTCAGACACGACCTCACCGACCAAACTCCCGCATACTACAGCGCCGCCCACCAACCCGAGCTCGCACTCTTCAAAGGAGACACTGAACGACATCCCAGGCCTGAGTCTTAAGCGGCTTTCACACATACAACACGTGAAGCTATGAGGCACAGCGAGGACACAACAGGCGAAAGCAACCACTGGCGAGAGCACAGCAGGCGGGGGTTGCCTTGAGTTCGATCCTCGGCACCTGACAGGGCCCCTGAGCACTGCCAGGAGGGAATCCTGAGCACGGCTGGGTGTGGCCCCGAAGTAAACGACAAGAAGAAAAAAACCCACACAAAACTTTTCAATATGTTACTGTCAGTGTTTTAGAATTAAATGTTGATTAATAAGGTTGAGGCAGCCACACTCCTAGCAACATTAATAGTAAATAGGAGCATTTTTTTTTCTTTTTGTGTCACACCCGACGATGCTCAGGGGTTACTCCCGGCTCTGCGCTCAGGAATCACCCCTGGCAGTGCTCAGGGGACCATATGGGATGCTGGGATTCGAACCTGGGTTGGCCACGTGCAAGGCAAACACCCCACCCGCTGTGCTATCGCTCCAGCCCCACACACGGGCATTTTTGAAAGCATTCTATACCGCGGTGGGGCGCTCCCGTCACTCGTGATTCTGAGCTAGGAAACACGACCAGCGTCAAGAACAGGCACCTCGGCTTGTCCCAGTACCCTCGTCCGACGGGTCTGGGAATACAGCCACGAGCGGTTCACCGCAAGGGAAAGAGGAAGAACCCAGCTACGAGCCCGCAAGCCGAGGTGGCTGCGACTTCTGAGCCAGGGTCTGGCCAGGCAAGCCCAGACCGAGGGTCCCGGCCAGCTCCAGGGCAGCACGGCCTCCTGTCTACCGCGCCTGGTAGGCCACTTTCTGGACCGAAGACTGGTCAGTTAATGCTCACACTGTCCCCGGCCCCCCAAACCACCGACCAGATCCCAGCAAGCAGGAAGTTCATTTTCAGAGAGCGCGGGGGATGCCCACCTTAGAGATGGACCAAGGCCACACTAGGGGGACCAGGCGGCCAGGAGGTGACTCGGGAGGGGTGGGGGAGACACCGGCTATCACACACTTTAGGGAAGCCACCTCGGCAGAGAGGCCAGCAGCCGCGCTTACAGCCGCGTGCTCACGCAGAGCCCGGGGTCCTGAGGGGGGGGGGGGCAGCCCGACTGTCCCTGCTGCTGGGCGGAGGGGGAAGGTCAGTGACCGCCCCTCCAGACCCGAGGCAGGTGAGAGGGAACAGAGGGACGAGAACCTGCCCCTCCGGCTGCGAGTCTGCGGCGAAGCCATCCATGCCCCCTGCGCGGCTGCGCGAGGGCCCTCCCGCGTCTGGGGGTCGAAAGCTTCCGGCAGGGCAAGCCCCCTGGCGTCGCAGACACGAGGTTCAAGTTTCCGCAAGGGACTTACTTCGGATCTGTCTCGAGATGGGCTTCGTGGGTTCGAGCCAAATCTAAGGAAAATGGAGGAAAGAACGCGACTCCGTTAATCGCGTCAGGCTGGCGGGACCCCAGGCGGGGTCACGCTGCCCAGGGCTGGAGGGCAGTGCCCGGCAGCCACGATGCTACCATGAGGGTCTTGGTTTCCACACGGCCCCCTGCAGACGCCGAAGTGCCACACCTGGAGGGGGGCACCTCTGTGCGGGCCAGGACGGGCGGCCAGCCGAGCCCTCAGGGCCACGCCCTCCCGGAGGGGCCCAAGACAGGAGCTCCCTGCACACCCGCGGCCCCAGGCCTCCCCGCCCCCCCCCCCCCCCCCCTGCCTCTCGCCTGCCCCACACCCCCAGGCCACACACCCAGTGCGACGGGACATTCTGGAACTCCAGGCCGAAGTAGTCGCTTTCCACCAGGTTCAGACGCGTCCACAGGGCGGTCAGCAGCGCCTGGCCGTGGCTCTTGGGCTGCGGGGAGAGGGAGGAAAGCGGGAGACGCTCAGGACCCTGACGGGAGATGGGCAGCGCCCGAGGGCTGAGGAGAGGCCGCTCGGAAAGAGCCCGGCCCTGCCCAAGGACAGAGGAGGCAGCACGTCTGCGGCCACTGCCCGTCACCAGGGAGAGGGAGCGGCACGGGAGACTGCATGGGCAAAGAGCACAAGGGCCTGGACGTCGCGGCCCGGAGGCCGGCAGTCCTGCGGCAGGCGCTGCAGACATGGAAGCACCCATGTCCACATGCGGGGCCTTCCCTGCGGCCGACAGCAGGCAGCACTGACCAGCAAGCACTGGCTGGCACAGAGGGGAGCGGGGCCTGGGGTGCTGGGCGGCTGAGCCGTGTGCAGGGGCCCGGGCACACCCCACCCCACATGCTCTCCTGAGCTCTCAGCCTCTGGCCCTGAGCCCGGAGCAGCCTGAGCTATGGGCCAAGAGCAGTCGGCCTTAGTTTTCATCACTTTCACTTCCTGTCTATCTCTAGTTCACTGAGTCTGAGGCGAGGTTCTCTCCCCTGCTTTCCTTCCTTTCGCACTCCCCGTCCACGCTGCTGGTCCACACCAGGCCCCGTGAGCCCCTCATCTCACTGCAAGATGGGCCGGATTTCTTTTTAGGGGCGACCCATGCCCACTCCTGACGTGACGTGTGTTCCGTGTGTCGGGTGGTGCCGGGGATCCAGCCCCACACATGCGTGCAGGAACTGTGCTGAGAGCCGCGTTCCTGGACCCATGGACAGAGGCTGACTTGCTGGCCTCGGGGGCAGGAGCCCCTGGCAGCAAACACTCGTGCACAGCACGAAGATCAACGCGGAGAGAGAATCCCGGGAGTTCTGAGGAATAAATGCCTCTGAGGGGACGGGTCATCAAGCAGGCCAGCAGCAGATGCCCACGCGCAGCCCCCACTCACTGGGTGGACCAAGGAAACCCCACGCAGACAGACCCTGACAGGCGCGAGGCAGAGACAGACCCTGAAAGGCGTGAGGCAGAAGCAAAGCCTCACACACAGGGGCAGCCCAGCGGTCACAACAGACTTTTCTAGCCAGCCTCAAGCAAGGAAAGGAGACAGACACAGTACTGACTGATGAGAACGTCCTAGCATGGGTCCTCTGCCCAGCAAGACTGTCGGAGTAGAGGGACGAAAGCACGCATCAGCTGAGGGTGTGTTTGGAATCGAGTCCAGCCCTGCAGGGAGGCTGAAACCAACTCCCCGGAGATACGTGACCTAAAATCCCTTCGTATCAATGATTTTGGTAAATATTAATGCACCAAGGATTCAGCACCATCGACCATATCCACACAATAACCAAACTCATTGAGGTTTCTCGGGAGTTCAAGATGCCGCTCTGCTTAACGTTCATTGATTTAAAGAAGGCCTTTGATTCTGTTGAGACGGAAGCGGTCATTGAAGCCCTAGCCAATCAGGGCATTCAAGCCCAATACATCAGGATCCTCCGTGAGCTGTATTGCGGATTCACTACCAGGATCTCACCATTCTACAAAGAAGTGATCGTTGATGTCAAGAGAGGGGTGCGGCAGGGTGATACCATTTCACCAAAACTCTTCAGTGCCACCCTCGAGAACATCATGCGACGACTGGAATGGGAAGGAATGGGAGTGAAGATAGATGGTCGGCAACTACACCACCTCCGCTTTGCTGATGACATTGTTTTAATAACACCAAACATCAGCCAAGCGGCACAAATGCTGGCCGACTTTGACCGTGAGTGTGGAAAGGTAGGACTACAGCTGAATCTTACGAAGACAATGTTTATGAGAAATAGCCTTGTTCCTGACGCCCCATTCGCTCTCAATAGAACGACCATCTCCGAATGCAACAGCTATGTGTACCTAGGTCGAGAGGTCAACATGACAAATGACCTGGCACCCGAGCTGCGCAGGAGGAAGAGAGCGGCTTGGAACGCCTTCAAGAACGTCGAAGAAATAGCTAAGAGGACAAAGAACCTCCACCTCCGGGCATATCTCTTTGATTCCACTGTTCTTCCTGCATTAACATATGCCTCAGAGACCTGGGCCCTACGCAAACAAGATGAGAACGCCATTCAGGTCTCCCAAAGAAGAATAGAAAGAGCTATGCTTGGAATATCACGTTTCACTCAAATGAGAGAACGAATCCGGAGTTCTGACATCCGTCGACGATCAAGGATCAGGGACGCTGTCTCATTTGCCAAGGTGTCGAAAATCAGATGGGCTGGTCACGTAATGAGATTTAAAGACGACCGCTGGACTAGAGCTGTTACCGACTGGATTCCACGGGATGTCAAAAGACCGCGTGGCCGCCCACCTTCCAGATGGTCAGACTTCTTCGTCAAGGTCATGAACGATCGGTTTGAGGCCCTCCATGTTCCCGGAGCGAAGAGATGCCATTGGGCTACACTAGCACGCGACAGGGACAAATGGAGACGTTACTGGCGCCCGCTCGAGCAAATCGACGACTAACGGGAAGTTAAGTGATTAAGTGATAAGTGATTAATGCACCGACTCCTGGATAAAACAACACACAGTCGCAGGAGAGATCAGGAAACAAAATTCAACCTTTTGTTGCTTCCGGGAAACAGACCTAAACTTTCACGATAACTTTCATGGGCTCAGAGCGAATGAGAGACAATCACACAGCCAATGACAGACACAAAATACACTGGGACAGCCACGCTTGTTTCAAAGCAAAAGAGCACTCAAGCTAAAGACGACAATGAAGATGGGGAAGGACAAGTCCTGCTGGCACCAAATGATGGGGTAGCATGGAGTCCATAAAGCAAAGCCAAGAGGCGAGAAAGTCCACAGTGGGAGTCAGCGGTGGAACTTCAATAGACTCATCTCCACCCAATGCCCTCTATTCACTCTTGTCACTGGACAGATTGACGAGGCAAAGCATCAGTAAAGAAGTGCCCAAAATGGGAAGCTGCAAGAACTGGGTCTAAGAGACACATTCAGGACCCTCCACCCCCAAAGCCTGAACATACATTCTCCACAGCACACGGGACATTCTCCCAGGTAGTTTACGTGCTGGGACAAAACTCAAACATCCACAAAAATAGTAATCACACCAGTCATCTTCTCAGACCTCAAAGCAAAAAAAAAAAAAAAAAGTAGAAATAAACCATAAAAAGAAAGTGGCAAAGACACTACCTACCTGGAAACTAAAGACACGCTGAGAAACAACAATCGCATCAAAGAGGAAATCAAAGAAAAATTCAAGATTCCTCAAAACAAATGAAAATGAGGACAGCAATGACCAGAATCTCTGGGACACAGTCAGTGCAGGATGGAGAGGAAAAGTACAGCTACTCAAGCACACACCGGGAAGAAAGAGAGGGCTCGAAGCAGCAAGCCAGCCTGTCAGGTGAACTAGGAACAGAACAACAAATGAATCCCAGAGCAACTAGGAGGCTGGAGATGACAAAAATTAGCGCAGAAGCCAACGATACAGACAACCAGGACACAACACAGAAGGTCCGCGAGACCAGGAGTCGGTTCTTTGAAAGAGTCAGCAATACTGACAAGGCCTTGGCTAGGCTCACCGACTTCCTACCACCAGGCTCAAAACCAAAAGAAACGGAAGAATTCTTAACATCGTACTTGGTTCAGCCCCAGACAAAAGCCTGAAAAGACTAATCTCAAGTGAAGAAACTGAAACATGAATTAAAAAGCTCCCCGCAACAAAAGCCTGGGTCCACCCAGATTCACTAGCTGAGTTCCTCCGGCTCTTCGAAGGAGACTTGGGGTCTGAGTATCCGAACTACCGAGGGAGCTGAACTCTGCCTACAGCCCCTCTAACCCCAGCATCTCACCGACACCTCTGAGGGACAGAGACACACCTGAAGAGAAAACCGTGAACCGATATCCTGGATGGACGTCGATGCAAAGATCCTCAACCCAATCCCAGTGAACTGACTCCAGCAATTTATCTAAAGTATTCTACACCAGGATCACGTGGGATTCATCCCAGGCATACAAGACTCAACGTACGCAAATCAATTAATGGAAAGCAGCGTATCAACAAGGAGAAAGAGAAAAACCGTACGGTCTCATCAGTTGATGCAGAGAAGGCTTTTCCAAGATCCAACATCCATTCATGATTTAAAAAACCACAGGTGGAGTTCATGCCCAATTCAATCGGCTAATCAGTGGCTGAATAAATAGCAGTACTCCTACATAAAAAAAAAAAAAACCCGCATGGCTGCTCCTCCAGTCTGAATGTGTTTAGTTGTGTAAAATGACAGAGGAAGTATTCTGGCCTGTCTTAATGCTTGCCAAATAAATGCCCCTTTAAAAAATGAACTTTAAGTATTAAAAAATGTAAACCAAGGTCTTTAAATAATTTGCTGCCCATGCAACGGCGTTCATTCATCAAAACCATAAGCACCAACCCTACTGTAAACAAGTGATCCAAACTATGAAAACTCAATCAAAGGATGAGTTTGGGGGCCGAGCAGTGGGCAGGGCGTTCGCTGTGCATGCAGCGGGCCCAGGTCTGACCCCGGCACCCCACCTTGTCCCCCACCAGGAGTAATTCCTGAGTGCAAGAGTAACCCCTGAGCAGCCCAGTGTGGCCCCCACACCAAAACAAACAAAACCGAAAAACAAACAGAAACCTGATGAATTTGTGAAGGAGTGAGGGCGCTGGGGACCCTGGCGGAAGGTTTGGACCGGAGCATTGGTGCCTGGGCTGACCACTGACCGCTCTGTAGACCACAGCGCCTAAGAAAACTTTTACAAAGCAATTCATCACCTCTGCCCGTCCCGAGCCAGGAGCTGTGAGGAGACTGCAGGTGGCCAGAACAGGGCCCGGGGGAGTGACATCAGAGAGGGAGAGCCCAGGGGTGTGAGGTCAGAGAGGGCGGGCCCTGGGGTGTGACGTCAGAGCAGGCGAGCCTTGGGTGTGACGTAAGAGAGGGCGGGCCCTGGGCTGTGGGGGGTCAGAGAGGGTGGACCTTGGAGTGTGACGTCAGAGAGGGC